CGTGTTCATAGTGAACAGCTAAAGGCCCGTTTCCACTGCTGCGTATGCGTTGCGGTGCGTATGCGTTTCTCCAATCAGCGAGCGAATTCACTTTGATTGGCATCTGCAATCCGGTCGGTGTGCGGTGACGGATGACATACGGATGGAGTTCAACTTCTATCCGTATGTCTGCGGATGCGTTGGGGTCACGTAGTAAAAAAGGAGCAATCAGGTGTAGTGACTAAAAATTAATGGCGGCAGAAGTAGCGATGAACGCTCGCTAATAGGGAAAGAATGTTTTGCTAAAAAATGCTTATTTCTGAACTAACATTATAGCGAGAAATTTGCGTGCTGAAAAAGACAGCAATCAGCTGAATTTAGTTAAAAAAGATAAGAAAAACAAGATAACTGCAGCTACAGTACTTGTTCGTTCAGGAAATTCAGTTCAAGAAAATCAGCGGCAAAAATTATAATTCCAAATCCATGAAATAGCAAAATTTGTTCTGATAATTATTTTTTAGTTCTACATACTCATTTAGCTTTAATGAAAATGAATGTCTGACTATATCAAACTGCTATAGCAAATTAGATAGGATTAAAAGATTTGCTATTTTTTTCTTTTGAAACAGGTTAAAAACTAAAAGCGTTAATTATAAATTAAATTTGATAGCCTTTTAAATACTCCAGTTCATTGAAGAGTATGTTAAATTTGTATTTCCCTTTATAAATATATCTTTTTGGATAACATATATTTGTAAGCACATAAAATATATTTTTAGCAGCCCGTTTAACTTCAATCCGAACGCCACTTTAAAAGATAATGATTTTTGTGAAAAAATGTACTAGAAGCTGAAGAACAAACTCTGGTAAATTTTTCAGACGATAGCACACTGAAATAGTACCAAAAAACTTAAGTTTTAAGAATTGATTTAGTTGATAATGTATATAAGCCAAAATATGCATGCGATTTATGTGCAATCCTAGCTTAGTGGTAGAGCTGATGGTAAGGATGTTCATATTTTTGGAGTCGTGAGTTCGAATCCCATACGCTTTTTTCACCCTGTCTGCAACTTTCTTACCTTTTTATTCCAATTTGATCTATATTCGTGTTTTATAATTTAGTTCTATTATTATATGCATTAAATATATTGTTTTATTTATGCTCTTATTTATTTAAATTTTTCCTGCAAAAAGGTTTGAAAATTATATAATATTAATTTAAAGCATATCCTGTACATATATATTTGAATTTAACAAACATTCTCTATTCGTAAAAAGCAAATTTAAAGTGAATTAAATTTAAATGAAATTTAATGCAAACAAAGAAATGATTAATTATTGCTGCGAACTAATCTACAATATCCTTTAAATTCTGAGAGCATATGTAAATCAAGTGCAAGTATCAAAATCCATGAATAAATATATAATTCCAAAAATTTAATCCTAAAAAATTTATAAAAATGCATAAGTTCATAATGGGATAGATTATTAATCCTACAAAAATTATAAAAATGCATAAATGAATAATAGGATAGATTTAATCCTAAAAAATTTATAAAAATGCATAAGTGAATAATAGGATAAATAAATTTTGGAATTATATATTTATTCATGGATTTTGATACTTGCACTTGATTTACATATGCTCTCAGAATTTAAATGATATTGTATATTAGTTCGCAGCAATAACTAATCCTTTATTTGTTTGCATTAAATTTCATTTAAATTTAATTAACTTTTAATTTGCTTTTTACGAATAGAAAATGTTTGTGTTAAATTCAAATTTCATTCCTTGTAGCAATGGCGCAAGAGAATTATTTAAATTTAATTTATTTTGAAACCCTGCAGATATATATATATATTTTTTCGTTTTCACTTTTATGTGAATGTATATACATCTGATCAGACTTTGGGATGTTTACGGACTCTAAACTTTCATTACCGATTAACATGAGACAGTATTAATGCCCTAAACATTTTTTAACAAAAAAATTACTATAATAATTGCTTTTAAATTCAAGTCCTCTTCCAGCAGAAGAGCAGGAATTAATTAATTAAATATTTCCATTTTCTTTTACCTAATGTGTGTATATATATATATAAAGAGAAAAATCTTACTTTTATAACTTTTATAAAAAGAGATATGAATTAAAAATGTTTAAATTAAAAATAATATTTTATGGATTATGCATAAAATATAACTGTCCATAGTGCATTTTAAAACAAACGAGATTTCTAATAAATTATCCAGCTATGACCCTGAAGTCAGCGGTATACAAGCATAGCAAATTTTGCGTAAATTTTGTGAACCTTTCTTTACAGTTACTCTGTACTTTTAAAGTACCAACTATTTTTTAATTCCTTTAACTTTTTTATTTTATTTATTTATTTGTTTACTTTTTCACTAACAGTACATTTTAGTTTTAATATTATATATATTATTTCATAATATTTAAGGCTTCTAGAAACACAATTTTTTTTTAAATTTACGCAAGCTTCTATGGGATTAGTGATGTTCATAATATGCATTATAACTTTGCTTATGTAAAAATTGCTAGCGTACTTTACTTTCGCAATTCATAAGCAGAAATAAAAATTTCCAATAACATGAAATTTAGTGAACAAAACTTTTCTGCGTTTTACGTCAGGATCCATATCAAATCCAAAACAAAGCGGGAAAAATTCAGTTGTTCAGCGTCGTAACTCGCGAACTGCTTTTTTGGCGCCAAAATATTACAGTGACACCTAGCGGCGGAAAATGAAAATATTTTACGGATACGCAGCAGTGGAAACGCTTGTACGGATGCCGTAGGCGTGTCTTCAATTGCCTCAACGCGTTCGTACGCAGTAGTGGAAACGAGCCTTAACAAAACACCTGAAGTTTCGAAGAAGCGAAGTTTCCTTTTTCAATTTGATGAATGAGACATTGCATAGGAAAGGTGCATTTAACTATTTTAGAGAGCTGAAAACATTTTTGAAACATTTAAAAAATTTCGGAGCTATGTTTAGACACTGCCTCCAGCTTTCGTGATCGCATCGCCAGACCAATTTTTTCACCACCTGATCCGTGCATCACAACTAAGGAATCGCATAGCATGAACGCCATTACAGTTATAGTTATTTTAAATATACATCACAACGATACATACAAATAATATTTTATCGAAATGCATTTGAAAAGGGAAAACCCTATTAGCAAAATGATGCATTCACTTTTTAGTGCACACACACACACACACAAAATCACCACTTGAGAAGACTATTCACTGCTGAGGCACATTATCGAAGGGAAAAAAATCAGTTCTGTAGCACATGGGAAAAAATTCACTACTGTAGAGCACTTAGATCATTGCCATAGGACGTTTCACGAAAATCACTATTGTAGCGCATTTGTCACAAAAGTTGAATGATCGAAGAATAATTCCACTACTGGCGAAGTCGACGGAATGAAACAGATCACATTGACGTTTTGCTAAACCTTACTACGATGATATGCACGACTTTGAAAAAATGCAAGAAATATATAACAGGTCTTATAAAATAATTGACGAGATACGTTGTAGCATACTTTTAATGTCCATCTTCGTCATTTTGAGTTAGTTCTTCAAAACGCCAGAGATACAGTGGCTACAGTCGGTGAAAATTCATTGTTGGCAGCGTGCTCAGTCAAAAGGTTCATCACTTTTGGTGGTTGTGCGCTTATTGCATAATATAAATAAGGTAAATAAGAGTAGACATTTCAACTATAACAAAAGAATATATTAAGTACTAAAATTACAATAAAAATACATTACGAAGATCGAAGTAGAGCTCAGAACATGGTTCATGCCATCGTCAAGTAAAGTTTCCTTACGAGAAGTCAGAATGACACTGACGTCACTCCACTGCTCTGATTACGAACTGGAGGTCTCTGACCTAGGGACCTTGGTGTTACACCGCTTAACTCCGATCAGTCTCTTCAAACAAATATGTAAAATTTCTCCAAATTTTCATAAAATCATATTCAATAAATAAGTATATAATATTTTTCTAGTGTATTTTCTCTATGTTGCATCTCAAAAATAACTCTTAAAAAAGTACTCTCTTGCTCTCGATAAATATTAATCACACAACTCTTAACCAAAGAACAAAAATATGAACATAAAACATGATTTTGTAAATATACATTTGATATCAAAACACATATTTATTCACATAGTTTCTTTTCATTTCTGGTGTTTTAATGTGTGCACCTTGTTATGACAGCATTCATGTATTATTTCCTGACACTGTGTGAATCCGAGCGGTCAGGGTGCATCCTTCTCCTTCTACAAGTTGTAATTCTGGTTTTGAGACTAGCTGTATATTTAGCACGATTGTATTTCGGTTATATCTCATGTGAAGTTTTTAAAGAATTTGGTCTTTCTATAACTTATCAGAAATCTTTACATTCCGTGACACAGATTTGTATCAAAATTTAGCTTTCTCTTCACCTCAATGCTTAGCTTAGAGTTATCTTTCGATCACTTACTGTTTCTAGAAGAATACGTTTTATCAACTAATGCTGTATTTCGTGGATTTTCTTAAGAATAAACTTTATAAAACTAAAATAATACCGAGACTCACGATTTTCGCTTATTTAAAAAGAAACTCTCAACGTAACTATCAAGTTGTGAGTGAATGTTTATTTTTGTTTGCTTAGCAAAACATATTAATAGCTTTTATGAAAACAGGCACAAAATTGTCATTTTTTTCAAACTGATGGGACGTTAAGAAATTCCCGAAAAACGGTGTTGTTCAGTACAGAACGGAATTTAAACCACATAAGTATTATGTAGTGGGCAGTCTAGTAATCTGATAATTTCTAAATAATGTAATTAAAGAAAAATGAAATACAATAACTATTATAAAATAAAATAATTATAATTATAGCATTCTTTTTATATTTTGATGATTAAAATGCATCTAGAAATCCCGCCAATAGCAAAATCGCATTCGATTGGAGAATCACGAGAAGGTATACTGAGGATTTCCAGTGGCTCACCTTCCTTTCCTCTGTGACCTTTCCTCGCATTTGAAATCACCCTGCTGCTTACCGCGAAATTTTTCAGTGTCATCAAATTAGTTTAACATGGCATTGTCTTCAATTAATCCAATTTTATTTTCAAATTTTATAAAATGTACGCCATGCGCATTTATTAGCTGTTTAAACCGGCAAAGGTAATTTGAAATCTTTTCTCTCTATTGGAATTGCGAGGTATTTCAAGTTTCGTTTGAGTGCTTAGGTTTATAATTTAAAAAAAGGCTAAATAATTTTTGTAATAATTTTAATTCTGAACTATATTGAATACTTTTATTGCATCAATGATTCGAAAAACAGCTCAAAATGTGTATTAAAAAATGTGATGAAAGTCATTGAAAGAGAGTATAACATGAAAATTTAAGTTCGTTGGATGTTAGGAAGTAAATCAATGAACCATTATTTGTGATCAATAATTTTATTACATGGAGCCCGGTATTGTAAGATTATATATATATATCTATATATATATGCACTGTTTATCCTATGAATATGAAATAACACCAGAACTGTCGGTCTTTGGAATAATACTTTCTTGGGGAATTTCCTGAGAGAAACTGGCTCGTTTTTACATGACTTGGGGATAGTATCTTTTCCATATTCTTATAATTGTACCTGGTGCAATCTGCCATCATTCAGCTATCTTAACCAACCAATAGCTCATTCAAAATTTGCTGCACATCCTAAGGCTAGCAGTCCATAAATACTGTGCAGCATTTATATGCAGTTTACCAGGACTGCAAACAAAATAATCTCAATATACGCACACACACACACACACACACATATATACGTGTATGTATATATACGTGTTTGTGTGTGTGTGTGTATATATATATTGATTGAGATTTTGCAACATGCACGTATGACTGTAACTTGCAGCATGATAAATGCAGTGCGAACACCTGTGCAGGAAATAAGGCTAGCAGGCAATCATTGCCTTATAAGATTAAGACATTTCTCTCTCCTTTCCCAATATCTTTCTTTGAAACAAATTTCATGTGCTATAAATATATTTCAGTTGCTCTCGGCTGCTGTCTACTGCTCTTGTGTGCTAACCATCCTCAGTGGCAAAACTGGATTCTCTGTTCCAGAAACTTGCACAGTCATAACTTTATCATACTTGAATAATCATCCTGTATCTAACCTGATTTGTGTAATATGTTCACTAAACCAAAAACTGCTAAATGCTTAACTGTTTCAACAATATTTATTATAAAATCTGCTGAAATTTCTAAGTCTCATTCTATATGAAAATTAAGAAACAATTCCTGAATTCTTAATTGCATATTCTATGTTAAAAAAGGCATAATTGCATATTCTATGGTATAGAATATAATATATAAATTGTGTAATATATAACATGACATTATTTTGCTTAGAAACAATAGGCAAACATCTAAAAAGTTCTCTGCTTGAGTTATGCAGTCACGTTTTTGTTGAATTTGTGTAATTTCAGTGTTTTGTTATTTTGGCCTTTTTTGATATATGCAATTAATATGCAATTAAGAATTCAGGAATTGTTTCTTAATTTTCATACAGAATGAGAGACTTAGCAATTTCAGCAGCTTTTTAATAAAAGTTGCTGAAATGGTTAAGCATTTAACAGTTTGGGTAAAATCCTAGGAGAGCCCAGACCTTTGGTGACCAACTGGGGAAGTGCGCACAGCTTCGCACGCTTCTCAAAATTGCCAACTTGAAAACAGCAAGTCAAAGAACTGCACAAACTCAGTATCCATGTACATATCAACCTATTTTCACTTAAAAAACATCAGAGAATTGCACACTTCCTTGACTTGTTCATGTACACATTGGTACGCGCCATAACCAAAATCATTCGCGCAAATGGTGTGGGCTGTGCTAGGATCCAACCACAGTTTTTGATTTAGTGAAAATATTATACAAATCAGGTTAGAATTCAAACTGAGACTGGAACACAAAGCAGTATTGTCAAAAATATTAAAATGACTAATCACTAGATCTCTTCCAAACTTGTTGCAGAATTTTGTTAATAATGTGAAAAATTTGTTAATACAAAAGCTTACACCAGGAATCTGATCTGTTAGTAATATCTGCCGAATGCTTTAACAGGTCTTTTTTCTAATTTAATGTGACTTACTGAAGGTTCCAAGGTTTAAATGTTGTCTTAACTCTTGCTTTGATAAAGGCCATAATCTGTTTCACTTAAACATCTAAAATGCCCGTATGTATGTATTTTTGTTGCAGTGGATTTCCTTCACCCATACTAAGTAGAATGTTACAGCACTGACATTAACTTACTTAAACAAAAACTTCTCTCTCGGGGTTTTCATGCTCTTTCACCACTGTGTGCATTTTCCCGTAGGGTAGCATTGCAACTTTGGGCATCAACAGCTAAACAGAGAAGAAGGAAGGTGCATTCAGGTAACAGAACTACTTTTATTCACTTGAAAAGAATAATTGGCATGTCATGTAACAACAACCAAAAGCAATGAACCATGCACTAATGTGATGGGGGGAAAGCACCAGGTAGAAAATAATTCGGGCAACCTTCTGATATCTGAACGATCGAGCATTTTGGGCAACTTTGATGTGGAGGAGTTAAATCAAAATCAAGTTGCTTGGTGACTTAATCCCTTACTTGCGACATGTTTCCATCATTTTGCAGTTTTCACACTGCATTTTGCTGGCATTATTTTTTTTTTAAATTTGCTCGATCGACCCTTTTTTTTTTTTTTTTTTAAATTTGCTGACATTCTTTCAGTTTAAAAATTCATTCTATTCAACAATATCTGAATGATAACATTAAATGTGATCACATTAATCAGTGCCTACTGTATGAGGAATCAGAATTTGCAGTTCTAGCATAAGGTAATATTTTAGCTAATTTAACATCTGTCATTAGAATTTTTTTACAAACTTTTATGCAGAAGTTCATGCAGTCTTTTTGGTAATTTGAAATCTAGAATTTTTTCACATATTCTGTCATTCTTGTTGATTCTAAGTTGGCCATAGAGGCAATAGCTCTTCAATAGCACTCTGAGCATCCTGTTATATAAAAAAATACAACAAGATATCGAGGAACTAAGTAGAAATAGTAAAACAGTATAATTTCACTAGATACCATTCTACATAGATATTTATGGTAATGAAAAAGCAGATCTCTTGGCAAAGAGGGGTACAAAGTTATTGAACAGAGTTCCATACCTTTGGATTCACTTAGAAGAAGTATTTGAGAGAATTTTATGTCAGCTTACAACACAAAACTATCAATTAAATTGAAAGGTAAGCTCTGGAAAAATACCAGGAATGACTAGAATGAGTTCAGTCGCAGGTCACATAGAGATGCTGTGGCTAATATCTGACTGCCTACAGGGCACCACTGCTTAGACGGACATGTTGGTAGAATAGGCGTACAGACTGAAAGCCAATGCTGTACTTGTAAAACAGATACTATGAATAAGCAGTACTTGCTCATCTGGTCCGGACCGTGACCCTAAGTTACAACATAATGGTGATGTTCTCCATCTGTAAATTTTATGTGTTAATTTTTTTAGTATTGTAAAGATTCTAGTGCTGTAATTCTTAAGTGTTTTTAAAATTTTCATGATGTAATTTTAATGTAATTTTGAATTTAATGTTTTTATGGCAGCTGGCCTGATGTAAATTGATTGATTTCTGAATAAAGCTATAAGAAACACATTCATTCTATAATAACTTGATAACATTAACTGACAAGTTGATCACAATAAGAGATGCATTTTCCATGTTTCTGTATAGAAAGGGGTGGGACTACAGCAATTCAATAACAATATCTTAATGGTAACATTAAATGTGATCATATTAAGTGGTATATCAGAATTTTCAATTCTAGAATAAGGTAATATTTTAGCTAATTTAACATCTGTCATTAGAGTGTTTTTTTTTTTTTTTTTTTTTTTTTATTTTATTTTTTTAATATGGAGAAGCTCAAATACTATCAGAAGCAGATTTTCACTCCAACAGTAAAACATGAAGAAAAGCTATGACATTAGAAAGCTTGTGGCTCATTGAAACTATGTTGTTAACTTTATTTATGGCATAAGGAATCAGTAGAAGCATACGTGTAATGTCTGATACCACCCTTCCTCTTGTATTTGAGGGAAAAAGCTTCTTCAACTCCCTCTGGCGATTGATTGCTGCAGGAAAGGAGTCAGTTAGGGTTTCGACAACGCCGGGGGTGGCTGCACGATTATCACAGGCGTGCACTCACCATAAGTTTTTGATAGAACTACACGATAGTATGCAGACATGTACTTCTCCAATTGACTTTAATTAATGTTACTCATATGTAAATATCTTGTAACATAATCAACTACTTATTTATGTAAAATAATGTGCGAAAGAAGTCCCATTATTGGATTACCACCAAGGGCAGCTAACTGTAAGGTTGGTTCTTTACATTGCTGTCATCTGTGCTGGTAATCCATTAATGGGACTTCTTTCACACATTATTTTATTTATATATAAGAAGTAGTTGATTATGTTACAAGATAGTTATATGTCATTAACATTAACTAATGTCAATTGGAGAAATACATGCCTGCATACTATCATATAGTTCTATCAAAAACTTACAGTGAGTGCGCACTTTTGATCCACCCCCGGCGTTGTCCAAACCTTAACAGTATGTATTACAATATGTATGTTTTGAAATGAAATTTGAAATTACGAGTTCAGAATCTTAACTTGCAAAATAATTCTAAATTTTTGATAGTGACCCTGAACATATTACTTTCAGTGTGTGAATCTGGTTGTTGTCCTGAAAGAGTTCAGAGCATCCAGATTTAAACCACAGACTGAGAACAGTTGCACTTTTCTTAGAAATACAGTACAAAGTCCGTAATCCGGACTCGTCGGGACTTCGGCGATTCCGGTTAGGGGTTTTTCCCAGATTATAGATCATCAGTGTAAATCTGGTAAGATGGCATGCAGAAATGATACAATTAAAAATATGAAATCGTAATTTATGAAATAAAGAACAATTATGATCTAAAGGGTATCAAAATTTACAAAAAAAGCTTAATATTTATTTATTTACTTTATTAAATATTTCTTTCAATGTAAGTTGTTTTAAGATGCTTCCACAAAAAATTCAAAATGTTTTTTTTTCTTGTGTCATATATAGCGGACTTTCCAGTGCCATACTTCTCGCATAATTTTGAGACGGGATAGGCTTTTATCCATTTTTTGCAGTAATTCCACTTTTTGTTTAATGGACATCGAAACATGCTTTCGCTGTGTAGATCCTTTGGCAGCTCCAGAATTGAAAACTCTTTTTGACATAATTGAAAGTTCAAGCTTAATTTTTATAAAATTGTTCTAACAGTCTGCAAAAAAATAATAAGCCAGATCCAATTAGAAGATTAAGGAACAGCGCAATCTGCAACATTAACTGAAATGCCTTAGATCTTACCTAGCTTATACTGTCAGTTATGCATTAAACGCGCATGCATAAACGCATTGTACGTTTACACATGTGCATAAAGTTTGTAGCTTTGAAGTCCGGATTATAGGTCATTCCGGATTATGGATGTCTGGATTACAGACTTTGTACTCTACTTTGTGATGCTAAATTTAGGAAAAATTCAATTGTAGTTTGGGTGAAGAAATTTCTTCATGAAACTGTCAGTCTAAGTTATGTTGTTTTCTTATATACTGTATTTCTGCATCTATTTTTCCACTCTTTTTTTTTTTTTTTTTTTTTTATCAAAAGGAAAATTACATATCTGAGAATTTTTCCTTTGGAAAATGCAAAACAACATAAATTAGATAGGCCATTGTAATAAAGAAGCAAAGAAACTTGTTGAACGAGAAGAAGGGATCTTTCGAGGCTTAGCTTACATACGATTAATCAGAACCTGCTAATATGCCATGAATTTATTGATGTATTTTAGCAATGAAATGTGTTTTTGACATTGACAAATGGATAAAACAGATTTTTTATTTCTGGCAAATATTCTTTTGCCAGAAATAAATAAAGAATAATAATTTAATGCAATCAAATTCAATTGATTGCATTAAGTTATTACTCTTTGAAACTTGCCTTACCCTTCATATTAATTCTACTAAATAAGATGACTTCTGTCAAATCATTTGCTAGTTTTTATAACTAATATTTTATGACTTTACATTTCCATTGCATTTTCTGGAAAAGTACCATATACCTAGAAATAATGGATATTACTTCTTCATTTCTTAACAAAATCTAGTAAGCACATGATGCATAAAGTAAAAGTTAACATAAGATATCAAACATAATCCCAAGAATTTTCTGTGGAGAAAGTGTTAACTAAAAGAAAATAGGGGAAATAAAAAAAAGGAAAAAGTAGGTTTAATTGGGAAAGGAAAGGAAGTCTCGTCTTTCTAGAAAAATTTGGAGCAACTTCTGGGGTTGCCAAAAGCTCGCAAATAGAGTCAGGTGGTATTTTTATTGATGTTGTTGGCAAGTACCGGCTAATTTCAGTTTTATAACCTTTTGTTTTTTCAGTAAGGCTGGGACTAGGCATTTGTTTTCCTCTATCTGCAGGTATTAAATTTTTCTGCCCAGTGCCTCGTAAATTCTAAAAACTTTCCAAATTCTTCTGCCTAGAGTGGTCACACCGCTTGCACTGCCTTTGGTACATCTCTCCTTCTTGCTTAATAAAACTTTCAAAGGTTCATTTTGAAGGATTTGTAATACATTTATGCTTAGAGGAAAGTATGAGAATCAAGTTTGAAGATAGGCAGGTAGCTAAAGGAGTTAAGGAAGTTCAGCTAAAGAAGTTATGTAAGTTCAGAAGTGTTAGGAAAATGAAAATTTTTCAATGCCTTTGAAGGTTCTAAGTACTTTAAGCATAATCAAAAATGGCAAGATGCTAAAACTAAAAATGTCTGTGTACATGTACCTTGAAGCAGAAATCAAAATTTGATTTAATATTGTTTAAGAACATAACTTATTATCCCGTTTAAGTAATTCTGCTATGTTTTTATAGATAACAGTAGTCAACTACTGATTCAGTTTTGCTGTTAGCAAACTCAGATTTAGCAAAATTGGATGTTATTATGATGTTCACTATTGAAATTTCCTGACGTATCTGAAATATATATGTTAAATTTTAAACTATTTAATCTGTTGGTATTTTCTATTAAGAGGATGTCGCTTAGCACCAAACATAAACATTGGCATGAAATCTAATTAGATGGCAGTACCTTAATAATAAATAAAGCTTCAGAAAAAAAAAAAAAAAAAAAAAAAAAAAAGAAAGAAAAAAAAAAAAAATACTTGTAACAGCAATAGTGTATCACATAGTCTAAGGTGCACAGTACTGAAGCTGTACAATTCTTTGATCGTTTTCAAGTAAAACATATCGCTGTGCATATTGTTGTCCTCATGTATACACCAATCTGTTTTTTCATAACACGTTGATTGCGGCGCCGAATTTGCTGTCTTTTCCGTTCAGCCAGCAGTGAGCTAAGCCGTATTTTTGTTTAGAATGTTTCAAAACATTTCATTAAAACTAAATTTGATCACATTTCATTGAGACTATATTTATTTCTTAACTTTAATACTGTCGGTCCAGTAGACCGACGCCAGCCCAACAAAAATTCCAGTGCCAGTCCCCAGGGACCGATGCCGGCCACATGGAAAGTTCACTGCCAGGGACCGACGCTGGCCACACGGAAAATTCACTGCCGGTCCTCAGGGACAGACGTGGCACTCAACATGTTAAAAAGTCATTAGAGCGTTGCACTAATTCGGTATCGTGCACAACCTGGGCATTGCAAATATTAAATATTGCTCAGCTATTCCATTCATTGTATGAACAGGCTCCCACATTTCAGGACTGGTGACCTGATACCAGTAAAGTACCATTCCACTTTATAAATTTCTCTTTCCTGTTACTAAGACTACCCTGCAAAGATTAATACCAAATAATTGCACCTTTGGAAAATAGTTATATATTAATACCATATTATCTATTTTTGGAAAATAGCCATATAATAATGTCAATTTTAACCATATGGGATTGTAATTGTATTGTATCATGATTTTCATTTGATTGAAAGTGTTAAAAATGTACATTGAAATACCATATTGGTTGATAATAGTTGCAGCATGCAAAGAAAACTGTTTCTTGTTCAATTGTTTAAAATCCATTATGTGAAATATAGGACAAATAACTATTTTTTTCAAATTTCTTTCCATAGCATGTAGTGTTAAAAAGAAAGTACATTGTATCATACATTATTGCTCTCTAATCATGATTACTGGGTGCACTGTATATGCAAAGTATACATTTGAATTAAATGTGTGAAGTTTATTGTTTGTTGCAAAAAATATTCTTGTATTTTTTCTAAATCCTATAAAAATATATTCTCTTTAGCTCCTGGTGGTCACATGTTGAAATGGGTCCTCCTGATGCAATTTTAGGAATAACAGAAGCTTACAAAAAAGATACCAATCCAAAAAAAGTTAATTTAGGCGTAGGTGCATATCGGGATGATAGTGGAAAACCTTATGTATTACCTAGTGTCAAAGCAGTACGTATTCATTTATACTTAGAAATGAAATTTTAAATTATTAATTTAACTATAAATAACAATTATTTTCATTATGATATGTGCATTCAAATAGGTTTTATAAGTGTCATCCTCTGAATGTAAATCCAAAATTAATTTTAAGTATAGAGATATAACAGTTTATGAGACATACAACAGTTTTTGTGCTGTTTAAAACTATCATGTCTTTTGAGAAATAACTGCCATCATCTGTGAAATGTTTGGGTACTTATTAATTATACTGTTGGCAAAACCAGGGCTGTGGAGTCTGTAGAGAAAATGACTGACTCCTTTAATTTTAAAGACTCTTGACTCCTACTCCCTCATATATATATATATATATATATATAATGTTGTATGAACTTAAATCCATTTGTGTGAATACAAGTTATTATTACTTGCGCAATTGCTGCAAAGTTAGTTAATAATAAATTATTTCCTAAACAGTATTGATTAATTGATTATATTATCTCCTAAGTTTAATTAAAGTAGAATTATTTTAAAAGTGTGCATCCATACTGGTAAGTTATTTTGAAAGATTTTTGAAGTAATTTGAAAGCAAAATGTTAAAATGTTTTAAAACGGGGACTGGAGTTAAATCATCACGAAGAAGAATATTTCAATTGTAAAAGGAAAAATTAAAACATGTAATTATTGTCATTGATCGGAAATTAGTTGACTTTTCAAGGGGAACAAACCAACTTCCGTTCAATGAGCAATAATTGATAAAAATACGTAAATATGAAAGTGTTTTGTCTTTACTCGAGTTATAAGTTAAAGCGAAATCGGCAATTCTAGTCAGGCCAATTATTTCCGCGAATAGTTGCTACTCAAGGAACTTATTCTCATGAAGCATTTTAGTCAATTCAATTTGGAGTAAAAATCAATTACTGTAGAGAAATCCTGTAAAACTCGAGTAACCGTCCCCGACACTATCATCTTTATGTATTTGAGTACTATATTATTATTAGTAGTAGAAATTAAACATTGGAAATTGTCATTATGAAATCGAATTCAAAGTAAAGTTGAAATAAACATAGAAGATTATAAAAAGATAAATAATGCAAACTTTGTAAAAACGAATCAAAAAACATAAAATAATATAAAAATAATATAGAAAATATAAATAAGATAGTGAATGTACATGAAGATATAAGGCCAGAAAGGTATTAAGTAACTTACATTCTTTCTAGTGGGGGAGTTGGCAAAGTGTTCTCTTCGTGTCTGACTCAGAAGTGTAGGGTGTCCGAAAATTCTTAGCGGCAGTAGGGGCTTTGAATAATATCAGTCGGTAAGACTTGGGAAGTAATTTATGGTAGTGGGTGGGACTTGGAATTCTTGAGGGATGTATTTTGTGGAGTTCTTATCTGAGAGAGACCGTCTGTTAAGATTTTTTAGAAAATACTAGTGAATGGAAATTAATTAATTTCTGGCTAATTGTCGTGTCGCAATGATTAAGAATTTAAGAAAGGAAAAAAAGGCATTTTCGCTGTCCAAGAGCTAATAGACAGTCTAAAGGCAGGAAATAGGCCCATTTTTTTAGTAACAGTATAGTAACAGTATATGTCTGAAAGACAATTAGCTTTTTACAAACATATGCAACTTTTTAATTACACTATACACAAATCTTTCCAACTGACAGTCATCCAACTTATACCGCCTTCTCAGGTTTAGGAATAAATTAATCATATCCCTATCAGTTAAGTGATTTAGAGTGAGTATTTAACGCCTGCTCTTTTAAGGACAATGGTTAATAAATTGATTAGGTAATAGATTATTTTTGAGAATTTTTGATAAGGAGCAAAATTTCGCGTTGTAGATTATAGCGTATCTGTGCAATATATTTTTAATGCGTTGTATTTGATTTAATTATAGTGTATTACTAGTTACTTTTTTGAAGATATGTTGAAAGTTCCAATTTATTCAATTTGTTAGTATTGAAACTGAAGTTTCTTGTTTTGTCAAACAGTAAAATTTTTTGTAGTTAATGATTTGAAGATCTAGAAAGTCTATCTATGCTATTTTTGAATTAGTTTTTTATTAAGTTTAAGACAATTCGGATAAATGTCGGAGTTTTCAATTTTACCAAAATTATTAATTGTAATAAGGTCATCAATATATCTGTAGGTGTGTTTGTAGTAATTTAACTCTTGTGGTTGTAGATTTTTTTTGGAAGTTAAATTCTTTGACAATAAAAAGATATTACAGATCGAGGGTGCTGGAATGTAAGCCCCATTGGCAATCCTCTGACTTGTTTAAAAAGTTGATTTTGAAACTTGATGTAGTTTATGAAAAGTGTGCATTTTAGGTAGGTTTTCCATTTGTCAGAGGTCATGATATGAGTATATTAGGGAAAAGTTTTGGTAGATCAAGTAGACTGTATAGATTTCTTCTAGAGAAAGTGAGGTATATGTTTTCAAAATCATAGCAGTTAATGTTTTGGATGTTAATGGTATGAATGGTATTAATGACAGGAGTGTTTATTATGAATGATCTAGCAATAGTTATGATTAGTGTTACAATCATTGAAAATAAATTTACAGATTTTATTAAGTTGAATTGAAAATAATAGTCTATATTTTTTCTTGTAATTATTAGTTCCATTAGCTATAAATCTAAATTTTTTATTGGTGTTTTATGGAATTTGGGAATCGCATAAAGATTAGTTAATCTGTTGTAGTTAGCATTGAAAGTAATATTCAGTTTTCTTATGAAAGTTTTAATCCTGTTTATTATAGATGTTTCTGTAGGTTTGGGCTGATTGATAAGTAGTTGCGTTGAGAAGTTCTTTATGAATAATCTCAGTGTAGAATTGTTTTCATATAATGCTAAAGTTATTAGTTGCTTTATATCTATTTTTGTAATAGTAAAAAGCTGTTTTAATTTACTAATATCTGATGTAAGTTGGCGACCAATTCAGTGTACTTTTAAATTTGAGGTGACTGATTTCTGTGGATATGCGTTGAAGAATTGTTAGCTTTCCATTTTAAGAAGGTATCTATGGGTAATTCAGTTGATAGCTTGCTTTAACTATAAATTCGTTGATGTTGTTTTCAAAGTCTTGTAACAGTAATTTGTAGTAATGTTTCTGACTGGTCTAAATTTGTACCATAACTCATCACTGTTTTTAGTTGATGGTTTTGTATGATATTCAGGTTGCCAGTAATTATGTGCTGGTGATGAGATCTACGTAATTGCTGTAAATTGGTGTCTTACAGTTCATTGCTGCAGTTTCATCTATTTCATGGTGGTTAGTAAGCAAGTTGCTTAAGGTCCTTTGATATTTAAATGCAATCATTGGTATTGTGTCAACTGCGGGAAGTAATCTTTACAATCTCTGATGATTCTTGAGAAATGAATATTTGTCAAACTGCGGATGCAGAAATTGACTTTAAATAAATTTGCGTTGAGTGAGACTATTAGAGAGTCTGAAAAGACTAAAATCAAGAATCATGTCTTTAATCATTTGTATGTCGTCGTAGCTTTCTTGAATGAATTTTTTTAGTTTGATAAGGAATTTATTAGTACAGAGTGTAACCAGTTGATAAGTTTCTTGGAAAGCAGTCTGAGTCAAAAAACATTTCATTGTTTTTTCAATGCAAGTGTATTCAAAGTGGATAAAATCTTGCATTATTTTTTATTTTGCTTCCTCTTTTTCCTCTCTGTGTTTTAATGCTGTAGAGTTTAGATTGGCTGAAAATAGACTTCTTAGAAGTATCTCTATGACTATGTATATAAGTGTTAAGTCCATATGGATAAAGTGAACGTTGTTTTAGTATAGAGAGATTCCTGAAAAAATTCGTGTTTTGTGATTGGGTATTATCTATTATCTGAAGTTGAATAGAGTTGAAGTCATGGTGTTTAAAGTGTTCTAATTCTGCTGTATTAAGTTGTGATGGTGTATTTATTTTTTTAATGCTATTTTCTTATGCGTTGAATTTTTTGATTTGAGCTCTATGGTTATTGATTGCTGCAACCTTAATGCAAGAAAGGAAGTATAATAGTAATAGCTATCTAAGATTGATGTTTAATTTTAGATGAAATGTTAATTTCGTATAATACCATTTTTATTATTATAATTTATATAAAAAAGGCTAAACATGACTGAATGGAAGCATAAGAGTAAATAACTATTTCAGATAATTTTTATAATTTATATAAAAATTGCTAGCCTGCATCGCTATTTCGCTACTGAGTTATTGCTAAAGCTTAATTTCATCTTGTTGGTTGTTCAAACAAAATTTTCTATAATGAATGATGCCTTTTCTATGAAAAAATTCTCGGTAAAATGCAGAATCGCCCACTTATTTGTTTGCCGCTTTTTACAAGGGTAAAAACAATTGGATTTTTGTCAATTTCCTTTTACTTTTTAAGTGAAAATAGGTTGATGTGTACATAGAAAAAGTCAAGTGTGTGCGCAGTGCCATTTTTGTGCAAATCTGGGATTTTTTTCTAAAAGTGAAAATAGGTCTATGTGTACATGGATACCGAGTATGGGCAATTCTTAAAAACGCGTCAAGCAGTGGGTGATTCTGGACTTTACCCAAAATTCTATTGCAGACTTTTCTTCATGGGCAATTTCCAAATTTTTAAATCCATAGGATATCAAAAAAAGGATTTAAAAATTAAACTAGTATTTCAGTGGCATCTAAAGAAATATAGAACTATATAAACTTATGCAATCTGAAATCGGCGCGTACGCTAGATTTGGCGCGCTGTTAAATGGGTGTGTTTGCTAGATTTAGCACTTTTGCACATACATTTTCACTGCAATTTTTTTACGGTCCTCAAAACGGAATAGTACTGTTATTTCTAAGAAACAGTAAAACAGTATAGCTTCAGCAAGATCTTCTTTCTTGGAGGACCATAAATCCGATTTGATAAATTTCAGAGCTGAGAAGACTTGAGTAGTACACGCTGACTTGAGTAGAAGGAAGAGCTGTTATTGTTGGGGCTACTTCTTTTAACTTTTCAGGATAGATTTTTATAATTTCTAAAAGAGATTAAAAGAGGTGTCTTGAAAGAGCAATCGTATTTTTCTCTGTCTTCAAAGGCTGTGTAGAAATCTTGTTTGTAATTCTCATTTTTATATCTAAAGGCTCTTGGTTCTTTATTTTCATTCGCTTTGTCAGCCTTTTCAATGTTATCCAAAAATATATCTCAAAATCTAATTCATCACTGAAAGAGGATGATAGAGACTCAATTGCAATGTCTGCAGTTTGACTGTCCTGATTTGAATACTCCAACTGTTCTGAAAATAATTTCATTCTTATTGAAAGTTCATATATGGCTTTCTTTACCTTCTTAATTTGTCGTCATCCAACAAAATTCGTGTTTTGGATCTACATATATTGAACATAGCAAGATCTTATTGTCTAAGCAAGCTAGTTTCTCTTTTCTTCATTGAAGAAATGATTCCTTCTGCAATAAACCCTCCATTTTAAAAAGAACAAACATCCTATTCTCACCTCCCATTAATTCTTCAGGTTGCAGCTTTTGTGGCTATAGAAAGAAGAGTTTCCAATTCTGCAAGATTCTTCTACAGTCTTTCTGTTAAGTGAAACATTAGGGTTATCTACATCTTTTAAAAAAGTTCTTAATTCTAACAGCTTCTATATCATCAAATATGTACTTCTTCATTGTGTTGCTTGATCAATAATTGTTCTTTTTCTTGCTCGCTTCTTGAGAACGGCATCAATTTTGGGAATTCTTGCTGCTATTGCTGCTTGCCTAAATTTACCAGAGAGATTTGTAACTAAATGAATCAGTTTAATCACTAATGCCAAATATCACATCTATCCTCCTCCCTCATATTTATTAACATGTCAATAAAATAGAAAATAACTATTTATTAATGTATATAGTTCATTAAAAATAATAACTCAGTTTGTCATTAATTTGTTTTTCAACACACTTTAACTTCATTTCAAATTCAAACTGTCCAGCAAAAATTGGAGTCGGAGTCGACCTGCTTTTAGCGACTCCCACTGCCTGTTTTTCCTACTCCTTTTACTCCAAACTCTGCCCAACTCCGACTCCACAGCCCAGGACAAACTTTAGGGATGTATATTATATGTCAGGTACTTTGCTAATTTTTTTCTTTCTTAGTCAATAACTTTCATTTGATTTCATCATGGTACTTAATTCCATCTATTTTTTTCATTCATTTTTCTGTTTGGGTAATGAATACATTTCAAAGGTTGTTTTTATGAGTTTATTTGAGTTGTTTATGATTTTGTCTGGTGTATTAAGTTTATGGACAAAATCTGATACAGTCAAAAGTCGTTAATCCGGACTCGTCGGGACTTCGGCGATTCTCGGATTATAGATCATCAGTTTAATCTGGTAAGATGCAGAAATTACAAATTAAAAATATGAAACGTATTATGAATAAAGAACAATTATGATCTAAAAGGTATCAAAATTTACAAAAAAAAAAAGCTTATATTTTTTTTTTATTTTATTAAACATTTCTTCAATGTAAGTTTGCTTCGTTTCATGTGATAATACTTTCTCTTTAATTCTATTAAACAGATATAATTTCTTGTTCAGTTACAAAGTTCCGCTGTTCAAGTCCTATAACTGCTGTGTCGAGAATACAGACTAATTTGTCAATCGAAATTTTTTCGTTTTCAATAACCTCTGTGTCACTTTCTACACTATCGGAAGTGAATTATAATGACGAGGAATTTGATTTAAATCATATCAAAGACGGAGTACATCGAGATGAAATACTACACTTAGTAAGGAATTATAAGCCAAATAAAATAAAAACATCTGCCCTGAAGATAAGGATAGTGCTGACAGATCAACTTCCAATCTGCCGCGTGAAATTGATAAACAGATTTCGGATTTCGAAACATACTTTCGCTTTGTAGATACAAATTACATATTAGTAAATATTTATCGGAAATTCTATTTGACATAATCGAAAGTTCAAGCTTACTTTTATGAAATTGCTCTAACAATCGGCAAAAGATAATAAGCCGGATCCAATTCGAAGATTAAGGAGCAACGCAATCTGCAACATTATACCGTCCGTTACACATTAAACGCGCATGCGCACAAACATATTCGCAGCCGTAAAGGTCTTACGTGCACCACGCATGCGCAGAAAGTTTGTAGCTTTGAAGTCCGGATTATAGATCATTCCGGATTATGGGTGTCCGAATTAACGACTTTTGACTGTATATATACATTGCATACCTGATCAGGCTTTCTTCAGACCAGTTTTGTTTGAACAAGTTGCTATGATTTGCTAGAATTTATCATTTCCATAACACATTTTCACTAACATTTAACTTTAGTTTATGGGAATTATGATATTAGAAATACAGTTCTAACCTAGTTTCCAGCACTGAAAATTTTCCAAAAGGTTGATTGTGATTCTAAGTGGTTGAAAACTAGTATTTTGCTTGTAATCAATTATTTTTAATGATTTTGGGACAGTTATTTCAAAGTTTTTAAAACAGATTTCATTTAAACTCTTCTGGTCTTCTAGCTGTCATCACAGTACTCACCGAGACCAGAAAGTTGATGTAAATTTTATGATAAACACCATAGTTTAAAAGTAAGAGGTTAATTTTAACTGTAAGCCTATGCGAGCTTGCTTCATATTGGTATTGCTTCATATTGGTACTGTGTTGACAGACAAAATCTCCCTACTGTGTTGCGAGTGACTAGAATAGTACTGTAGTGCCTTATTGATTTGTTTTATGAATTTAAATACAGTTAGTCTAGTTTATTGCAGTTTTGATCGTTTGATATTGTTATATAGATTAGTTTAACTTATCAGTTAGGGTAAATTTGAAGGGAAATATGCCAATGTTAAGTATAAATTTTAAAATTAATCCAAATTTTAGAATCAAAAATATTAAAAAAAAGTGATATCTTAATAAATACATTACTTATATTTAAAATCTTAACAGATTAAAAAAATAAGAGTTGTATTTGAATAAATATTTTTCTTCAAATCATTTTGTTAGAACTTCAAGTTAGTGTACAAGTCTTTACCTACTATTTATAGTACTTAAATCTAATGAAATATAGAACATGCAAGTGTGGTTTAAAAGCAAATCTGATAAGTGTGTGTGTCTTGATAACTGCAGTGCAACTTACATGCATATAATTACAGTACTACATATAATCTGTGGACATTGAAAAATATGACACTTCTAACATAGCGCCATAGCTTTCTTGATAAGTTGATATAGAACTAATTTCAATTCTTATAAGTTCGAAAAGTTTCAGTAATGTTGTACATAATCTTAGGATTTCATGGAATCTTAGTTAAGAAACTCAGAAATTATAATGCGTTCAGGTTATAAATTAAAATAAGGAATTACAAGCTCTGAAAAGTGAATTTTATGTACCCAGAGAGTTTTTATAGTTATTTTTATGTTCTAATTGAATTGTCTCCTTCAAATAGGCAGAACAAAAATTAATGTCACAAAGTTTGGATAAAGAATATGCTGGCATTGCTGGGATAGCTGACTTCTGCAGTGCAGCTGCTAAATTAGCTTTCAGTGAAAACAGTATAGTTATTAAAGATAAATTGGTATGTATTTTTTAATTGTGAATTTTAAACACTTAACAATAAATATGTAAAATCCTTTCTTGTAGAGGATGATTACAATTAAATATTTGTGTCCAGAGTTCTGCATTGAAAGAACTGCATTTTTTTATATTTAATTGTGATTTTTTTAAAGGATTAGGGAAGTAATTATTTTAAAGTATTATCTGTAAAGTAGAGCGTTATTTTCTTGAACTTCATAATTATTCTGAAAATTTTCAGTTATATAAAGGAGTCGCATATTTTTCTTTTTTACAAATTGTGAACAATTTATATTTACTTAGTCATGCATTATTCATTAAACTCATCTATAGATATGAAAGCATACTGCCCTTTAGAAATTTTTGAATAAGATAATGAGAAAAAAATTAATTCAGTTATAAAAAGGGTAGAAGGGGCATTCATTGCTCATGTCAAATAGTATTTATTTCAGGTGGAAACTGTTTGCCCATTGCCTCTATAATGGAATCAGAATAATTCCTCCTGCTTGGTTCTTGCTTCTTTCTCCAAATAAATTTTGACAAATAGGATGTGAGATGTTTCCGTGTTGTATTTTATTTCTTCGTTTAGCCAATCCCCCATAAACATTTAATAGTTTGCCTATGAACACTTATTTCCCGGATCCGTGAAATTATATTTGTGATTAGATGGAAATAGCCAGCTTCTTAAAGTTCCTGAATTTTGCACCCTTTCCAACAGTCTGAATAAATCCATGGTTCCATCATTAATAGTTTCTTTGATGCACTGCAAAAGACAACATGTTAGGTACCACTAGCAAAAATATTTCTCTCATCTCTCTGCAGATCCCTCCAAAAACTCATTGTTGAGGAAAAACATAACCCATACTGTTTCTTTTGGTAAATAGGCTCTTGTCTATTTTGACAGTTAGACCAGGGCCTCATATTCCCCCCCGTCTCCTGTCCCCAAACATTTGTACTATATAAATAGTTGTTCCAATTAACTACAGTATTATGTGACATGTCAAGTTCGTCTTGTCAAAATTGAAATTAGGTAAATTTTATAGATGTAAGTTGTTTAAGTTGTTTCGTTTTATGTGCTAATACTTTCTCTTTAATTCTATAAACAGGCATAATTTCTTGTTCAGTTACAAAGTTCCGCTGTTCAAATCCTGTAATTGCTGTGCCGAGAATACCGACTAACTTGTCAATCGAAATGTTTTCATTTTTACTAACCTCTCTGTCACTTTCTTCATGCCTTTATCCATTTTTTGCAACAATTCCACTTTTTGTTTGATGGACATCGAAACATTTTGTTTACTTTATTAAACATTTCTTTGAATGCGCGCATGCATAAAGCATACATTGGCATAGTCGAATTAGAAAATTGCAAACAGAAAACTATTGGATGTGTATTCATGATATTTATATTGACGGGGAAATTGATTTAAATCATATCATAGACGGAGTACATCGAGATAAAATACTACAGTTAGTAAGAAATTATAAGCCGAATAAAGTAAAAATATCTGCCCTAAAGATGCGAATCGTGCTGACAGACCAACTTCCAGTTCATTAGTTCATTGCGTGCCGCAACGTTTTCCCCCCGCAGAGCAGCGTGAAATTGATAAACAGATTTCGATGGTTAGAGAAACAAATCACCTCTTCATGGCTTTATCCAATTTTTGGAGCAATTCCTTTTTTTGTTTAATGGACATCGAAACATGCTTTCGCTTTGTAGATCTTTTGGCAGTTTCAGAATTGGAAACTCTTTTTGACATAATTGAAAGTTCAAGCTTGCCGGATCCGATTAGAAGATTAAGGAACAACACAATCTGCAACATAAACTATAATTTTAGCCTAGCTTATACCATCCATTATACATTAAACGCGCATGCATAAAGGTATTATGCACATGTGTAAACGCTGTGTTTACTCATGCGCAGGAAGTTTGTAGCTTTGAGGTCCGGATTAAAGACTTTATACTGTATTAATAAGAGGAATAAAACTGCGATTTAATTTTTAAAAGTTCATTATATTGAGGTTCGAAGTGAGATATATTGATTCTAAGAAATGAGGCTAAATGCTCATCTGTCAGTTTACTGAAATAATTCTTTCTAAGGTTTATAGTTGAAAACACTTGTTCACGTATATAAGATAAAGCAAACAGCACTGATTTTCTGGGCGTGATATATTAAATTTGCGAAACGTACTTTCGATAATGATTTGTAAGACTCCATACTTTGGCATAATTAGGAACAGCTGCTTGAGATGATTGTTAGATTGAAACTCAATTAATTCAAGCTGCAAATCTTACCCCACTGCTTCGCAATTTATGTTGAAAGGCAGGGTAAAAATATCCACTTCTGTTTGAATGGCACTGAAATCTTGAAATCTTCGTTCGAACTCAAAATGCAGATTTTTCAGGCCATCTTCATAATAAGCTTCTCTTCTGTTACTGAGGGTATTGAATTTAACCTCAGGAAATGAGACAAGTCATTCTTAGCTAGCTGCACAGCAAACAGACTAAGTTTAATTAAGTTTTTTTTAAGAGGTCTCATTCATCTAAGTTGGATTCCCATATGTTTACTCCCCGAGAAAGAGATAACTCTTGTTGGAGGCAATCTACAGCTATAACTAACTAAGAACTTCTGCTTCTAATACTTTACCAATTGAAAGCTGTCTGTGCTTGCTGTTTCTGTCGATTTATGTTTTGTAAAACAAAAATAGAGAAAGTAAGATCATCAGTCTTTTGAAAAAAAGGAAAAAGAAAATAATACTTAAGCAAAGTAGAAAAGGAGATGGATATATAATATATAAATATATATTTCTTTTAATTTGCTTCGGACCGGCAAATTATTCTATCCGCGGGCCGGATAGAACCTTCCGGAGAGCCGTAGTTTGCCCATCGCTGCCTTAGAAAGTCCTCCATGAAAGCATCCCTTCCTTCTAAAGTCCAGATTTAACTTGAAGAGATGAATAAAAGTTAGGTTATTATTACGCAAAGCCTCGGGGTATGTCTAAGGGGAGGGATCCTCTTGGAGCTTTCTAGGGAAATGGCTCATACACGTTACACATGGGGAAAACCACGAAAACACCCATTCAGCCAGCCTGTTCGCGGTGAAAATACATAAAAAATTTCTGTTTTGCATTTAAAATCCTAAGCAGAAAATATTTAAGTAAATACATTTTGTATATAAATCATTTAGTAAGAAATAAGTGTACTTTCTGAATATCCGCACCTCCACGAAAAAGTCGTGAACACATTGCTGACTTTGGAGAGCAGTTGCCAACTCATTACCTGGATTTACATGATCCTTAAAAAAAGTTAAAAGTATATAGGTTTTTTGAAAATGATTTTTGATTCTTAAAAGTCCTTAATTTCGGACAAAATTAGCAAAAGGCCCTTAATTTTACTCATCTGACATTTCTGTTTTGTGGAATTTTTTGTTATGGGATTTATTTCTTATTTTTTGAAGAGCACTGAAAACAAAGTTATTTGCATTTTCTGCTTTTTGTCCTAGAAGTTGCCTTAATATGTTTATCTTCCCTTTATTTTCTCATCTCTTTACCAGACACAAGCATGGAAACTTACTATTTTTAATTCTAATCTTGTCACATGGACAGGGATCAGTAGAAAGAAATTTTTCTATTAATAAAGAAATTGAAACCTGACAATTTAAATTAAAATATTCATCTTTTGTTTCACAGTGTAGTACACAAGTAATTTCGCCACTGGTACAATCTATGGATCCTGAATTCTGCTGTCCATTGTCTGCCCTAAATTCTAAAAATTTTTCCAGCCCTAAATTTTGTTGCCCATTGCTTCACTAAAATTAAATAAAATTCTCCTGCACTGCCTCAAGTGTTGACCCTGATTGTGTATCATTTCACATTTATTCTCAATAGTATTAAAAAAATAAAATTAGCATCTTCTATGCATTCTAAATACATGCAGTTATTTAAGATAACAAAAATCTTCAACTAAATCTAAAATTCTAAAATGAAGAGAAAACTTATTAAGAAAGAAGTTAATTAAATAAAAGAAAATTATTCTTAAAAATATATTGTTAAAAATTAAGAACTAGGGGATGAAGCAGAGACTAGTGGGAATTTTGATTTGTTTACCGAAAAAAAAAACATTTTAAAGAGAAGAAAATTGATTTAAACTAGCTAAAGTATCAAGAAAATTTTCAAATTAAAAAGATGCATAAATATTTTATTGTTTTATTGCTATGAAGCATACATATTTTGTAGCTTTTTTCATGTAATTATCCTAATATTGTTTTAGAATCAGTGTTATAAATTACATGTATGTCATCTGTATTTTAAAATGTAAAATGTTCTTAGGTTATGATTTTAATAGTGCTTTTTTAACAGACATTTTGTAGAAATAAAAAATATTAATAGTGACAGTGTAAATCTATAATGACTTAGGGTATCTAACTACATATGTAAATATTTGTAACTAATTTGCTCGCCCTTAGAAGTTATCTCTTCGTGTTGAAGTGAGTTATTGCCTTTCCTTAATCCTTATTGCTGATGTAAGATACAACAAAAAAATGTGTAAAAATTAATGTAAAACTTTATTCTTTACAGTTAATGTTACTTAAAGTAATGTGAACTAAATAATTAAACTATTCTGATCAGTGGCTGGTTTTCAAGCAAGCAGCTGCAGTAGCAACAACTAAGTTTCTCTTATGAGTCATGCTGATTATTATTTTGCTTCACAATTTAACTTATGCCACTTGTTTAATTTGCATAAACATAAAATTTGTATAAACGTCTGGACTGAGCAAGTATATGACAAAATGAGGCATAAAAGAATGAATCAGTATAAAGGTGATAGTAAAATTTAAATATAAAGCCACTGATTGTCTTTAAAATATATGAGACTATTATAAATGTAAAATATAAATATTTTAAGAACTTTTATAATTTTATGCTAATTACCTAAAAAAAGTTTATGAAGTTGATTTTATTCTTGAATTTGTTTTATAACCAAGTTATATATTATATTATGTTTCATAATAATATATCCTGCTTACAGATTTATTTTATTCTTACAAATTACAAAAGTGAAGTTCGGATGTAGATAATTGCTTTAGTTTGTTCAGTTCAGGTGTGTAATTTTTTCATTGATGGTCCTTAAAAGTACTTAATTTCCATGTGCAGAAATGTGTACTAGTCCTGATTGTCGATTAATTTTCCCCTAACCTAATGCAAGGAAGGCAACAGTCATTTTCAAAATGGTGGTGCACTAAGAATTCCATACAAGATCAATAAGTCAAACTTAAAAAGCTAGAAACATGAGTAGTAAAACAATTTTTTCAAAAATTCTTTTTTGCATTGTTGTTGTGCTCACATGCACAAAAACCTGTTTTTGTTTAAAAAAATCAAAGAACCACTTTATCCACACCAGTTCGGCATTGTGCACTGCCCCAAACAGACATGGGCTATGTGCATACCTGGGTTGCCACATGAATATTTTTTGTTAATTACATAGGTTGCCACATGACTATTTTGGCAACATATTATTTTGCCTTATAAATACCTTGCCGCCACTTTGTAGTGAAGGTGCAGTTAATCAGAAAGTACCGAAATAAGTTACAAAGAATGATACATTATCTCTAAAATATTATACAGAAAAAATTATTTTAATGTTAGTATAACAGTTATTAATTAATTATATTAATATATTAAAAATATGACTTATAATAATATTATAAGTCATATTTTTGGTAACAATCTTTATTTTGTCAGAAATTTTTATGATTCTGTTTTGTAATTTATTTGTAGTGAAACTGTATTAAATAAGATTCATGTTAAGTAATATATTGAGTGAAGCATGATCTTATATCTGTTATACTTTGTCATTTGTGTGCAATTTAAATGATTTTTGATAAAATTTAAATTGGTGTTAATTTTCCAGAATGCTACAGTCCAGGGTATATCCGGTACTGGTTCTCTGTATATTGGAGCTGCTTTCATTGTAAGTAAAGGAGATGTTTTATAATACTCTGAATGTCTAACTAAAGATATCTAAAACATTTATCAGCTGATTTGAGGAATGACCTTTCCAAATATTTATGACAATTATGAGTAAATACTGCATTGTATAGTGTAAAGTTATTTTGTTATATAGTGTTTTTTTCAGGGTGTGTGGGTCCTATTATTAAGATTTTTTTTTGGCTGAGAAGATTATATGCATGAAACTATTTAAGCAAACAGAGTGATACTTAGAGTTAATAACACAAGTTGGCACTTAACCAGAAGTACTGCATGTTTGGTGACTTTTGAGTCCATGTTAATGTTTTAGACTTTAACCCATTATACAATTCTTAAAAAGTTTGTAATGGAATTTTAGTGCCCCTCCTTTTTTTTTTTTTTAATTCTCCATTGTAAATGTGTACTTAAATATGTTTGGCTGCCACACTGTTTTAGTTTTAAATTTGATTGCATATATTTTAAATTAGAGCTATTATATTAAAAATGTAGCATATATTAATATTTTTAAGAAGTTACCTGTTTTTGCAAAAGTGACTTTTGAGCGAGAGTGATTTTTGAAAGGGAAAAGAGAGAATGTTGCATAGATTCAGTTAATTGTATGAATGCATTAGGAGAAGGATGACTTTGGATTATTTTTAAATGATTCATCATCACTAGAACTATCAAATGTATTACTAATAGTATATTTTCATAGAATATAATTAGTTGAGTAGGCTGAACTTTGCAATATCATGACATTCAAATGGCATACAAAATCCGTGCTGTTTTGAGACAGTATTTTTCTGGGAAGAGGTATATACAGTCAAAAGTCGTTAATTCGGACACCCATAATCTGGAATGATCTATTATCCGGACCTCAAAGCTACAAACTTTCTAACACGCGTCGCGTTGACGCATAGGCGTTTTACGCATGCGCGTAAGACCTTTACGGCTGCTCATATGCGTGTGCGCATGTGCTGCATAATACGTTTACGCATGCACATTTAAACATTTAATGTATAACGGACGGTATAAGCTAAAATTATCTAATTCAGTTAATGTTGCAGATTGCGTTGTTCCTTAATCTTCGAATTGGATCCGGCTTATTATTTTTTGCAGACTGTTAGAGCAATTTTATAAAAGTAAGCTTGAACTTTCAATTATGTCAAATAGAATTTCCGATGCAGGAGCTCCCAAAGGATCTACAAAGCGAAACTATGTTTCGATGTCCATCAAACAAAAAGTGGAATTGCTGCAAAAAATAGATAAAGGCATATCCTTTGTTTCTCTAACCATTCCAAAATCTGTTTATCAATTTCACGCTGCTCTGTGGCAGGGGGAGGGGGGAAACGCCGCGGCACGCAATGAATTGGAAGTTGATCTATCCTTATCTTCAGCACTATCCTTATCTTCAGGGCAGATGTTTTTATTTTATTTGGCTTATAATTCCTTACTAAATGTAGTATTTCATCTCGATGTACTCTGTCTTTGATATTGTTGTTCAGAGGCCGATACTTAGAGTAAAGAAGCCATCGATTTAGGACAACACACTTTATTTACACGAATAATGAATAAAAATATCACGCAGGAAATCATATTGAGCATCACACAGTAAATAATATATCTGCATCTCCCTACGCTCGAAGCTCGAATGACGGATGTGTCGGTAGAAGAGACAGCTGCGCCATCATAATTAATACGCATGCGTATAAGAAAAAACATTCGCTCGCCTTTACCCAACACACCCCTCCTGCGAGCAACATTTTTTCAATACAAAACTGAAATACAAACAATATATAACACATTACATTAAGGAATTAAGTAAATTACTTTCAATGTATACATTAATTTTTCTTCACTGACACTCCTAGTAAGAAAATCTGCAATCATATTATCAGTCTGTGAATATTCCAACTTAATAACATTGTCCTTTGTTAAGTCCCTTCATATAAAATGGAAACGTAAGTTCATGTGTCTGGGATTTCGTAGAAGATCGTGCACAGTTGATCCACTGGATGGCAGCTTGACTGTCTGTATTCAAGACCACTGCACATTCAAAAATTGTTTACATTTTAATTCTGATAATAAATTTACAGTTCAAATAATATCCTTACAAATTTTTAGAAATAGAAAATAATTCTGCTTCACAAGTAGACAGACTAACACTTCTCTGCTTTACGACATTCCAAGAAATCAATGAATCACCTAGTAAAATAGTACCACCAGAAAATGACTTACCGTTTTCTGCATTTCCCCAGCTAGCTCAGATATGCATTTCAAAAGCTAATGCAAAGTTTTTTACTATAAAAAGTCCAAATTTTTTTTTTTTTGTACCTTTTAAATACCTTAATACCCTTTTAGCCAAAAGATAATGCCTTTTTTCGGTACATGATTAAATTGTGACAAAAAAAGTTGTTACAAATGATATATCAAGACGCGTTCTATTCGCTAAATATAAAAGTTCCCATTCCCAATTAATTCCTGATACAAATTGCTTCTTCAATTTTTTCATTTGTACATGAAAAACCTTTATCTGCCCCTTAACGATTGGCGTTTTCACTGCTTTACAATTTTCCAGATTGTGTTTAGTCAATAAAGATTCAATATATTCTGTTTGAGACAAACATATACCATTTTCAAGTTTTTTTCTATTGCATTCCTAAAAATTTTGAATTAGTGTTTTCATGTAACTCAAATACATTTTTTACTTTAGAAACAATATTTTCAAGCATTTCTTTATTATTACAGAATACAGCTAAATCATCAATATACAAACACAATATAAAAAGTTTTGGTTTTTATCATTATAAATGAATATACAATTATCAGATGCTAACTGTACCAGCCCAAGTTTTTCTAATTCATTTTTATTTTCATATACCAATTTCTACCGGATTGAGGGCAACCTCATAAATACTTTTCTTCAATTTACATACTTTACCTTCTCCAATCAGTTTTTCATAACCAGGTGGAGGAGTCATATATACATCCTCCTTTAAGTCACTGTACAAGTACGCTGTTTTTACATCATAAATTTTAACAGTCAAGTTTAATTTAGCTGAAAGTGCAAGCAATAATCTAAAACATTCAATGTTAACTACTGGTGAATATGATTCGGTATAATTCTTATTTTTTTATTTGATTAAACCCAGCGGCTTGAATTTTTATTTTATTTTACTTCCCCAGAGTCTTCTTCCTTCAAAGTATACACCCACTTACTTTTACTAATTTGTTTTTTCAGGCCTCTCTACTATTTCCCAAACTTTCGTGTTTATGCAATGAATCTAATTCATTTTCCATTGCGGATTTCCAGTCATACCAATTAGCACTTTGTTTTGCTTCTGAAAAATCATTCCGAACATTACTGATTATACTTGAGGCTAGTTGTTTTGATTTGAGCCTCTGGGATCCTCTTAATGGTATTTCATTTCCATATTTATTACTTTTTTCATAGCTATCAGATGTTTGGACTTCATTCCCCCTGTCATCACCCCCGCTACAACCGCTACAACCGCTTATGTCGGCAATTTCGAAATTCGATGAGTCATCATATTCGCTTGCTTGGGTATTTTCCATAACAACCAATTCAAGGTGTGGTTTTTGATCTACTTTGTTTCCCCTTCCTTTTAATTCTTCAATATCCCAAGTTTCTAAGGTTTTATTTTTTCCCATATAATTACTACCCTTTAAAGATTCGTTAAATTTAACTGATCGTTCTTCAATTATTTTATTACTTGCTATATCATAAATATGATATCCTGTTCTTTCTCTAGCATATCCTAACATTATCTCTCTTTTCCCTGGTATGTCAAATTTGTTTCGCATTACTTTCGGAATGTGAAAGTATGCCACACATCCAAACCTTTTTAGATAGTTTAATTTGGGTTTTTTACCAGTCCAAATTTCTAAAGGAATTTTTTCTTTTCCTTTCCGGGGTGTTAAATTTGATACTTGAGTACTAAATTAATTGCTTCTGCCCAGAATTTTACCGGAAGCTCACTCTCATGTAGTAATGTCCTAGCTCTTTCTAAAAGAACTCTGTTTGCCCGTTCAGCTTTCCCATTACTCTCACTGTATATGGAATTGTTTTTTCATGAAAAATACCTGAATTACAAGATAATTATCTAATTGTTGATTTACAAATTCTAAACCATTGTCTGTTCTCAAACGTTTAATTCTTTTACCCAGTTAAATTTTCATACTTAGCTTTAATATTTACAAAATGCGTCAAACACTTCACTTTTACTTTTAAGAAAATAAGTAAATATATTCCAGAAAAATCATCCACTAAGATCATAAAATATTTAGACCCACCAATTGATTCAGTTTGAACAGGGCCACATAGATCCAAATGAATTAATTCTAAATTTCTGTACTCTGATTAATGTCAATATTTGGATGAGTTTTTCTAGTTATTTTACTTATGTCACAAGTTTCACACTTAAAATCACTTTACATCATTAATATCAATGTATTCTTTCATTTTAAGAATATTTTTGGATTTAAATGGCACAATCTACTATACCAAGTTCATAATTATTACCAGTACAATCATTAGCAATGCAAGATTCAGAATTATAATATGGTTCTAAATTAACTTCAAGCGTACCATTATTCTTAAATGCTTTAAAAAGTAATTCATTACGCCTACTAAAAACTAATACAGAATTATTCCTTGATTCAATTTTACATCCTCTATCCATTAAGGCAGTGAGTGACAATAAGTTATTTCTTAAATCAGGAATATAACTAACATTACTAATAGTCAAATTAATAAAACTAGAATTTTTTGTATTTATAGCTTTTGCTTTAACAGTACTAATACCTTCCGAATATATTTTTGAGTGTTTACCTGCCTGGTAAATTTCCCTCACCTCTGGTGTAATATTCTGAAACCAAAAGAAGTCTTTTGCCATGTGTCCAGTTGCACCACTATCCAGCAACCAAATTTTATCAATTCATCATTTTTTTCACGCGTAAGTTGAAGAGCAAAATCACTTTCTCTTTCATCAGAACGAGATGAAACGTTCACACTCGTAGGTTGCGACTTCTTTCTGTCCTTGTTACCTTTGGATAACTCACATTTTGAATTTTTGTTTCTGTAATAGCAGTCCTTTGCGATGTGACCAGGTCGTCGGCAAATGTAACAATTTCTTGGCTTATAGTTTTTATTCCTTCTTGATATGAACGCCTTTGCGTTGTTTCCATCAGGTCGTTTCCCATTCGTTGAATTGTGAACGGACTCTTCCTCACGGAGTATTTCGAGTACTTCATCAATTGTTTTTTCACGCTGAGTTTTTACAATTTCCCTAATGCGAGAGAATTTTCCACGAAGTCCACGGACTGTGTAAAACACCAGTTCCTGAGGAGATACATCTAGTCCTAGCGATTGACACTTAGTTGCTATTCCTCTCGCTCTTGCGATATAATCATTAGCCCGACTCATGCAACTTCATTTCTAAATTTTTTAACTCATTACCAGCATCTATTTTTCGATCTTCGGCTTGTCCCGTGTAAATGTTGACTTTATTATTTCCCAAAGAATTTTTTGCATTCTCTTCTGTGGAGAGAACTGAAGCGCCTGTTTATCCGATAGTGAAAGTTTTATATATGCTACGGCGTCAGCGTTTTTCTCATTCCACAATCTTTCATCTTTCTCGTCTAAATTTTCTGGTTTACTGTTGAAATTACAGAGTCAAGTCTTTTCCAGTGATAAGGCAGCTTTAATTTTTCAATGACCAAATAAAATAGTTCTCTCCAGTTAATTCAGGAACGTTCCACTTCTCCATTTTTGGCTTCCATTAAGACACTTTCGGTTTCGACTTGGTATTTTATATCCAATTCTTCTTGACAAAACCACGGAGCTGCTACCATTTGTTGTTCAGATGCCGATATTTAGAGTAAAGAAGCCATCGATTTAGGACAACACACTTTATTTACACGAATAATGAATAAAAATATCACACAGGAAATCGTATTGAGCATCACACAGTAAATAACATATCTGCATCTCCCTACGCTCGAAGCTCGAATGACGGATGTGTCGGTAGAAGAGAACGCTGCGCCATCATTAATACGCATGCGTATAAGAGAAAACGTTCGCTTGCCTCTACCAACAGATATGATGTTCCTCATCATTATAATTCGCTTCCGATAGTGAAGAAAGTGACACAGAGGTTATGAAAACGAAAAAATTTCTATTGACAAATTAGTTGGTATTCTCGACACAGCAATTATAGGACTTGAACAGCGAAACTTTGTAACTGAACAAGAAATTGTCTGTTTATAGAATTAAAGAGAAAGTATTATCACATAAAACGAAGCAACTTAAACAACTTACATTGAAAGAAATGTTTAATAAAGTAAACAAGTAAATATTAAGCTTTTTTTTTTTTTTTTTTTTTTTTGTAAATTTTATACCCTTTAGATCATAATTGTTCTTTTTTCATAAATTATGGTTTTATATTTTAATTTTATAATTTCTGCAGGTGCTTACGTATTATTGCAACCAGGTTGGCGCGATTTGTAAGTTTGAGTAAAAAAGTATGAATAGAAAGAAAAATGTACATTTATTAATTACAGATAATTTTTAATACAGTTTTTTTTATATTATTTTGTTTTAAAAATAAAAAATAGCAATTAAACCCTTCCGGTTTCGAATTTGAATAAGTTGCAGAATTATTTTTTCGGCGGAAATCTTTTGGCTATTGCTTTTAGCACTGATTGAAAACAGTCTTTGCCATTAACAGCTTGAGCTTGGTGCCATATAAATTCAATAAGGTATGAGTCAAGATGATGACGGGCTGTTCCTCTCTGTTTTTTGTTGCCGCCATTGGCTGAGCCCCACATGCGCTCTACATGTTGTGTGTGAACGCCCGTGTTGGGATCCACAAAGTTATATTTGTGATTAACAGTTCCATGCAGAAATCCAGCATTTTCGAACTCACTTGTATTGTATCCTTTCCAGCAATCCGAATAAATGATGCATTCCTTCCTTGATATTTTCGCAAATTTTTTCAATGAGGGTAACGGCGCTTCTGTTAGGTACAGTGACCAAAAAAGTCTCTTTCTTTTCTCGGCAAATTCCGCCAAAAACCCATTGCTGTGGTAGTACACGCCTCATAACACGTAGGGTTGCCGTAAGTAGGGTCGCCAAATTTGGCGATTTATGCGAATTTTGGCCTGGTTGCTTTAATACGTAACTACCTTTCTGCATGCCATCTTACCAGATTTAAACTGATGATCAATAATCTGGAAAAATCGATAATCCGGAATCGCCGAAGTCCTGATGAGTCCGGATTAACGACTTTTGACTGTATAGGCTTAAGTATAAATTATGTTTTGTGTGATGTGTTAGATATTTAAAATTTCTGTAATAGTGTTTTAAAAATCCAAAATTAACATCATGTTCTTTATTGAAAACTTTGTTTCAGAGTGATTTTCTTAAGGGTAATAAAGAAGTTTATATGCCAACTCCAACATGGGGCAACCATATTCCACTTTTCAAGTGAGTTTTCTTTTTTCCTTATTTATTTTTTTCCATCAGTAATTATGGAAAGGCAGGAAGTGGAAAGTGAAAGAATCATATTTATGAAGTTATGAATTATGTTTATTAAGTTTATGCAGTAGAAGGCAAGCCTCCTACTTTATAAATCTGCTGCTAGAGATAGTACATTTGGTGATTCCTTGAAGTTTAACTCAAATGACTTTTTAAAGTTACCTTGTGAATGTAGCTCTTAGCTAAATCTTCTTGATTTTAAAAAAAAGTTTTTAGGATTAATTTCAGCATGTGATTTTGGTCTTTTTGATTTACACTACTATTTTTGGCCAAAAAAAGGATTTTTTCACTGATCTTTTTATTAAGCTGTATTGGTAGTGTCTTTGGTGAAAGTATATACAGCATAGAGATGCTTATTTGTATTCATAGAAAAGTTTTAGAATTTTGATTAAATTTTTATGCTTTAGCTGGTTGTCATTCTAGCCATGTGAATTCATACGTTGAACATTCAATTTAGCATAATTTGCAATAAATAGTAAAAAAAAGGGGAGCATATTAAAATTCTGAAATGTTGAAATTCACATTAATATAAGAATTAATTGGAAATGTAGTTAAATTTGAATATTATGATTTTTCTGAAATTTTATTTTTAACATGGAAAATATATTTTGAAGGCTGGCATACTAACTTATAAATAATAATATTATCAAAATTCTTAAGTTTCCTGGTATGAATAATAATTCTATGAATTTTATCCTTAACAAATCATGTCATTTTATCAAAAAGCTTAGCAGTAATTTAAGCATTGAAATTAAAGTTAAATGTATTTATGTTTCTGTAGAAAGACATTTTTAGAATTTGTTATGCATTTTCATATTAGATGTCAGCATATTTACTTGATTTTTTTTATTATATGCATTATAGTTCTGTTTATCATATGAATAATGATTAGAATATTTATAACCATTCCAAAAATTTCTTCTTGGATAGGAGATGTGGATTAGCTGTTAAACAATATCGATATTATGACCCTAAAACTTGTGGATTTGACTTCAATGGAGCATTACAAGATATTGCTGTGAGCACTTTCTTTTTATTTGAACAGTTTTCCAGTCACTAGTGAATATATATAGATATGTTAAATATATTTTAGTATTAATTACAGAAATTATTAGAACAAAAGCATTTTATATAGTTTTGCGATTTTTAAAATGTTAAGATAATGAAGTTTCCAAGTTATGAATTTAAAATTTTATTTTCATATTTATACATGGATGCAATTCTATTTTCAATTTTGATACATCTTCTGATATATGTGAGTAATGCTGCAAAAGGTTTCAGTTAAGCACAAGTGTCTACTCATCTTTAGCTTATAATATTTCTAAATTTATTAATGAATAGAAGGGATTAGTTCATGTGTTAAAACTGATTTCTTCATCTGTTTACAATAGCTTGCTCTTCTTGCTGCAAATAAACTATTTAATTCTTCCATTTTGGCTAATGGAGTATAAAATTTGGGTACATATGTGTTAATGGAGAAAATGCCAAATTCCCCCCCCCCCCAAAAAAAAGGAGCTGACAATTGCAACTTTGGGAGCGTAACAAAAATTAATCATTATTGCAACTGTATGATATTTCTAAGTTTTAAGAATGTCTAAAAGCAGCAGTTTAAAGAGCGGATTTTTTTTGTTGCAGTTTATAGTTCAATCATGGGTCTACTGGTGTGCAAATGAAGCAATGAAGGACATGCTATTAGTTTCTGACAAGAATATAATATATCGCCAAGTCACCATCTGTGTTTCAGTTTGCATGAAATGAGGTTGAGAGTCAATCAAAGTTTTGTTTGAAATGAGAGTCAATCAAAGAGGTTTTGGCAGTGTTTGAAAGACATGAAATAGGTGGTGATGCGAGTTAGCCATCAGGTTTATCTACTGTTAATCTAAGGAAATAACATCAGCAAAATTTTTCTTATCCTTGAAAAACTCAACATGGTTGATATTACTGTTATTGACCGGAACAATTATTTAAGAGAAATATGTGTCTACATTGTCATTGAAATAAAAAAAAATAGATGGTGAAGGATTAATCATAGAGATCAATGAAAGGCCTGTTCTTGAAATAATTGAGCATCACCTCAATGGATTTTCAGTGGTATTTGCTAGGAAGCTAACACATTTCTCGTTATTGTGCCCAACTGAAAAGCCATGACTTTATTAAATGAAGTCAAAGAAAATATAACAACCATTTATTCTTATTTTGCCTATGAAATAGCAGAAATTTCAAAAGCTAGTTTCAAGGCTTTTGTGTATCTACTTTCCAGAGTACATATGCAAAGTATTGAGCAGGGGTAAGTGTTCTACAGACAACAGATTAGTAAGAATTATTTTGAATATTTATAGAAACATAGAGGCATAGCAATGAATTTGTACTTTCCCGATTTCATGTAGCAGCAGAATGTTCTAGCTCAAGTTCGAAACTATTTTAGAAGCAATAACCAATTTTTTACTACCTAAAAAAATTAATAGTATCAAATTACCTCCAAAGTTAATCAATTCTTATCTGTTAGCACATAAGTACCAAACGTTGTAGTTAATATTATTGAGGAAGTTTTAGGGAGGAGGTTTTATAAAATTATTTTAATGGTGCTGGGTGTTGAGAGGATTTGTACAGATAAAAATTTTAAATTATATATTTTTTGATCCATTTTTTTTAGTTTATTGCAAGTTGCATTGCAGCCAAATATTAAAAATAATTTGAATGCACAATAAATTTCTCAGAATATTTGTCTATTATTTTTTATGTATACTTTAAATGCACTTTTTATAGTCATTAAAATTAAAAATAATAAAATACTTAAATTTGAGAATTTCTAATGTTCATTATTAGTTGCATTAATATTTGCTTCTTTGTTGTGATCTTTATGTATATTCTTGAACCTCTTTACAAAGTTTTTGAAAGTAGTGAACATTGAGAAGACAAATAGGCATCTGAATTTGTTTTCTTGATACTTAATTGTATTTTTAGATTATATGTATGTAATAAACTAAAAGTTTTTAAAAGCTGCTAGAATAGGATCCCTGCTTTTAAAGATATTTCAGGTCTGCAAGGAATGCTATTTTAGGTTTTATTGTACGTGTGAAATTTAAGGGGGAATTATACACCAGGGCTAAAATGGTTGCATGTAAAAAATTCTGTGAAAAATATACAATTTGGTGCAACACAGAGCAAAACACATAGAAAATGTTCTTTTATGGTTACAAAACTTTTATGTTCTTGAACAAAAATATTTATCCAAAGCCATTTTTAATTAGTTTTTTCCCTACAGCAATCATTAAATTGCCTTAATTTCACAGGCATGTGAAAATTTTGTGTGATTAGATATGCAGTGGTTCTCTTTCAAAATGTGTAGTTGGGTGTACCTATCTCCTGCTTATCTGTACTCAATTCTTACTAATCTGTATTCAAAAGTAATATTAAGTATAAAATTATAATTTTGTATATATACAGATAATTTCAGTGAAATTACATGTTAAGTTGTATTTTTTCATATAATGTAACGTGAAAAGCTAGAGATGATGCTCTGCCAAAAAAAAAAAAAAAAAAAAAAAATTAATCGCCAAATTTGGTGACTATTTGGCAACATTTTGGTCTGGTCCCTGTATCACCGATATAGGTATTGCAGTTGAATAAGTGTAATTGATTTTGTTTGTAACTGTAACCATATCCGGCCCTCGTATGCCTTTTAGTAACTTCGAGAAGATAGGATTAGGAGATTACTAGAAATCTCTCAGCAACTGGGAGAAAACTAAGTAAGACTGATGAGAGTATCAGTTCATTTATTGTTAGCTGTTTAATTCAGTGTAAGTTCGGAGTATTGTGATATCTCTGTGTGAACTTCTCTTTAAGTGCACTTTGCATTGCATTGTGTTTATTGTTCTTAGTAGTTAGAATTGTAACTGATTGTCTGTCAAGGTGTTTTGTGGATATAAAAAATCATATATCCGCTAATGGAATTATTTTCAAAGACATTTTTGCAATTTTAAACAAAAGATATATAAGTACTTTTATAAAATCATCACTGGGACAATTTTCTCTAAACTGATTCCTTATGCTAATTCTATTGTTATGTTTCATGCACGTGCAGTGGGATTACTAAGAGTGGGCTGCAGTGGGCAGCTTACAAAATATATCAGACTAATATTTTGCATTTATTAATTTTTATTCCTTTATCAACATGTTTTAAATTTTTAATGGTAGAAAAATCTCTGCAAGTTTAATTTCAAGAATCTATCACAATTCACTGTTAATGTAAACAAATGTGATTTGTTGTGCAGAATAACAAAATCACATTTGATACAAATACACAGTATTAACAACCATCTATGTACACTGCAAAAAAAAAAAAAAAAAAAATACAGTTGTGTATCTCTACTGGCCAATTGACAAAATTCAAATTGTGTTCTTCATGTCCCGAGAACAAGACTTAGGATATATATTAGATTTATATATAGCTCTATTCTAACATATTTTTACACAGAATCAGACTTTTTTGAAATAAATACTAATTTTTTTCCATATTTCGATTCTATAACTCAAATTATGCCTAAATATGAAATTTTGTAAAATTTGGGGCAAAATTAATGGAGAAATTCACAAATTTATGTTGGCACTTTTTTTTGGTTTACACCAAGAATAATTCACGGCGAACTTCATAATATATGGCAACATATTTTCCTTTCCCATGAGCAGAAAAAAAGTTATAATCATTCCTTTTTTCAAATAATATTCTTTATATTATATTTTAATTATAACTGCTATTATTTTAAGTAATTTTTTCTTTTTCGAATTCATTTTATCGCTTTAAGTTGCATGGTTTCTTTCGAATAAATGTTTTAAAAATTTCTATTTACCCATTCGAACTGCGTAGTTTAAATAAAGGTGCATCGTTTATTTTTTTTCAAATAGTTTTCTTTATATATATATATATATTTTGTCATAGTTATTATTTTTAAAATTTTAGACTTTTATTTTGATTGTTTGTGTTGCATTGTCTCTTCAGATAATTGTTTTAAAATTTTTCTATTTATCATTTGAACTGAGCATTTTAAATATATTTATTAATATAAATTTTCCAAGATTTTATTTATTTCAATTGAATTCTTTCGGAAGAATACTTTGTGTCCCAGACTATGATGCATCTGAAAACTGAATATATTAAAAGAGAAAATACAGTAAAGCACAGTTAACATGCCTTTCAATGTTCCGTTCAGAAAAGATATATAAATGAGAAAGATGTTTAACCGACATTTTAACTTAGGATGACTTGCATTTAATATTCTGCTCATTGATTTACACAATTTTATCATTCTACATTTAGTTTCTTAAAATGTTACTCATATTTTAGTTAAATATTTTATTTTTGAAATCGTAAGAGTCAAATATCATAAGATTAAAAAGTTTAAGTAAAAAAAAAAAAAAAAAAAAAAACCCAAATTCTATGCAAAAATTTATTCTTTTCTTAATGGCTTTCTCGTTTTCTTCAGGCATTCTGCAAGTATATTAAAAAGCATCCAACTTTTCGAAACATCTTGGTATTTCTGACATTCACTTTAAATAAAGTTATCGCCTTCCACTTCATAATGACCTTCAAACGGCTGAGCGGTAAAGTCGCTGAACAGTGGTAGTTTGCTCCGGGGTTCAAATACTGGCGAACAGGCTGGTTGCATGGGCGTTTTCATGGTTTTTCTCATTATAATGTGTATGCCAGCTGGTTTCTCGTAGAAAGTTTTTCACGAAGGCATCTCTCCTTTTAGGCAGATAGCCCTGCTTAGCTGTAATGTAATAATCCAATGCAATCCATTTCATCAGTATTTGGTCAGAACCTTTATCAGTTTTTAGAGGCTAAGCATTTTCAAGGCATGAGATGAAATAAAAGACTGCTTTCATCAAGAGGGAAAACATCTTTAGGCGACATCCACATACATCACTGTATAAATTCCTGAAACCAGTCGGAAACCAGTCACTCTTCACTTTAATCTGCAATGATATCGTTTTTGTCTTTTCCATTAGAACAAGCTCAGTTGATGGTATTTGCTGGTGTACACTTCAAGGTTTTCTCTTTGAACACCAAATTCCTTGAAGTATTCTGAAAGTATATTCAAAGCATCCACTTTCGAACACCTGGTATTTGACAGCCAAATTCCCCTTCAAATTTTTGTTTACTTTTCTCCCTAATTTTCTTTTTCTCCTATGTTTATTTCAGTGCTCACCAAAAAAATTAAGATTTCTCGATTGTTATACTTCCATAAATTTTGCATTCTAGTAATTTTTTTTTAATATCAATTACATCAACTGCGTTTCAGTTGAAGACAGCTTTTCATTTCCCATTTTAACTATAAATAAAGTTTAAAGCAAAGTCCAAAGGATAAATATTTTAAATAAAAGATTTTTTGTTAAATGACAAAGAAATAAAACAGTACAGCAATGTTTATTCTGTACCACTGAGTGACCCGATTATTATATCGGCTGCAAACAGTCCAAATCATATTAAAGATTATGTTTTTTTTTTTTTTTTTGCAATCTATAACACGAGAGAAAATTAGATACTTAAAATATTCTTTCGAAGAGGATTAATGTAAAAATTTATACTTATGTATACAGTACAAAGTCTTTAATCCGGACTCTGCGATTCCAGGTTAGGGTTTTTTCCAGATTATAGATCATCAATTTAATATGGTAGATGGCATGCAGAGAAATTATAAAATTAAAATAGGAAACCGTATTTTGAAATAAAAGAGCAATTATGATCTAAAGGGTTACAAAATTTACAAGAAAAGCTTAATATTTATTTGTTTACTTTATTAAACCATTTCTTTCAATGTAAGTTGTTCGTTTTATGTGCTAATCTTTCTCTTAATTATATAAAAGACATAATTTCTTGTTCAGTTACAAAGTTCACTGTTCAAGTCCTGTAACTGCTGTGCCGAGAACACCGACTACCTTGTCAATCGAAATTTTTTCATTTTCACTAACCACTCTGTCACTTTTCTCATTTTTTGCAACAATTCCACTTTTTGTTTGATGGACATCGAAACATGCTTTCCCTTTGTAGATCCTTTGGCAGCTCCAGAATCGGAAACTCTTTTTGACATAATCGAAAGTTCAAGCTTACTTTTTATAAAATTGCTCTAACAGTCTGCAAAAATAATAAGCCGGATCCAGTTCGAAGATTAAGGAACAACACAATCTGCAACATTAACTGAAAAAGATAATTAGATAATTTTAGCCTAGCTTATACCGTCCGTTATACATTAAACGTGCATGCGTAAACGTATTATGTGCATGCGTAAACACATATGCACATGCATAAAGGTATTATGCGCATGCGTAAATGCTACACATGTGCAGAAAGTTTGTAGCTTTGAGGACAGGATTATAGATCATTCTGGATTATGGACGTCGGGATTAAAGACATTGTACTGTATAATTTTTAAAGCTGGGACATGAGCCAAACTATCAACGTCCTGTTTGCTTAAAAACATTGTGAAAATAAACATCAAACGAGCTTTCTCAGTTTTAGACAGTTCAATTTAAATGCAGTCAAAGTAAAGTAGTAAATGATAACACGGCAAAGGTAAAAATTTACCCTTACAAATATTAAAAAAAGGGGGGAGTTAAAATTTTGAATAATATTATCTACAATTAAAAAGATAGCTTTTGAAATAGCATTAATAAATATTTATTACGCACCATTGAGGGAAAAAATTTCATATAATTAATGCTCCCTAAAAATTTATTTGAAATTTAAGATTAAAAATAGCTGTGGCAATTCACTGTAACAAAAATCCATAAACTACATTTGGCGTTATTATTGCTAAAAATAAAGATGCCAAACTACAAAATGCGAAAATATGTAAATTCGTGTACATCTTAGAAAATTTTGAATAAAAAATTTGAATTTTTTGCAAGTATGCTTAGAACTAGACCTACTTTAAGATGATGGTTAAAAATTTTATAGGTTATAATTCAAAATTTTTTCGAAAAATTATAAAATTATTTAAGATAGAAATTTAAAAAATAAAATGCGAAAAATGGGTGAATTTTATTTGGAATGAACCTAAATTTAGAAATGTGAAAGGAAAAAATCAAAAAGTTTAATAAAAAAAGAGATTAATAAATACTATATGCTAAATTCAATTAACATTGAGGAGCTAAAATTTTGAGAGCTAATTTTTTAAAATCTATTCGTACGATTTTTACAAAACTTGAGTCTGGCAAAAAAAACCCACAAAACTTGACCAAAAAAAAAAAAAAAAAAAAAAAAAAAAAAAAAAAAAAAAGAAAAGAAAAAGAAAACCAATGGTAAATTTTTTTGGTGGCCCCTTTCCTTGATTTCTAATATACATGTTTATATTTCTTAATGGTTAATCCAACCCTGGGTAAAACAGAACATGCCTAACACAGCCAGTATTTAAAATATGAATTAAAAGAGGAGTGTTAACACATATTATTTTCACTGTTTAATATTTTGGTGTTTCTAAATACATTATGAGGTTCCTAATATTAGAACTACAAAAGATCACCATAAATTTCTTTCAACAAAAAAAAGAAAATGCATGGTTTTGATGGATTGAAGCCTGTAATATTAAGTTGCAAATTTACATCAGAACTGCATGAAGTATCATGAATTATTCTTTTATTTCTGCTGCTGTCATTGCAGAAAATGTAAACCAGAGTATTAAATGCATAATTGTGTATACCGCAGTATTCTGATGTATTTAGTTTTTATCTTGTATTTTGTAATATATCTTATATAATGTATGATTTGTTTCTTAAATAATTTCATGAATTAACATGAATTTCATGAATATTTATTTTTAATCTTTTCCCTAGAAAATTCCTGAAAATTCTGTTATCTTGCTTCATGCTTGTGCACATAATCCTACCGGAGTTGATCCTAAGGTATAATACATTTTTAAGCAAGTAGGATTTTAAATCATTTTATTTGTATTAGATGATCCTTTATATAATAAATTTTGTACATTTTAAGTTATGGTACTCATTACAAAATATTTTTGTTACAGCAAGTTCAATTGAAAGCATATGATTAAGGAAATATTTTTTAAATATAAGGTTAAAAAATTAAATCTTATGCTCTAAGGCAATCTTGCAAATTAAAAAATAACTTGATAAAAGGGCAAAATTATTAATTATGCTAAATAGAAAATATTTACATAAATTACATTAAAGCTTACTTTATTAATGAAAGGTCAACCTGCTGACTGCTGTCCTTTGTCTCCCTTCTAGTTACTTAAGCATTGTGTGATTTTTCAGGCTCAGGTAAGGAAAAAATAGTTGCCCTAGAGAAACTTTAAAGTACAAGCAATGCCATTTATTGTCAGAAATTTGTTTCAGTGTATTGACGAATATACCCACCCATTCATGGCAGTTAACAGGTTAAAGCTGTTATCCATGGCAGTTAACAGTTTTGTATTAGTTTTTGACAAATGCAGTTAGATTTTCCCAAATATTCATTATTAATTTCTCATTATCTGGTGTTCGAAAAAAAAAAAAAAAAAGATTATGTGGTGAAGAATGTAAATTTTACCATTTCCTTTAAATCAAGTATTACTTACTGATGTGTAAAGTTGTAATTTTGAGTAAATTTTACGTAATTTATACTGTGACTCAATTTTTGAGGAATTGCTTCTTTCTCAAGGAAATAAAAATGATCGAATGTAAAAAAAGGAGAAAAGTATTTATGAGGGGGTATAGTGAATTTTTGTTGTTAAAGATGTGACTTTCTTTACTTGTTGATTTGATTCGTGGTGTCTGGCTAATTATCTGTTTGTGATATGTATTCTTTGGGACTCTTGAAATGAAATTTAATTTAATATAAAGAATGAACATGTAAGCAATTACATATAATAAGTGACAAATTTTATTTTTAAGAATGTGTATTTGATGGTATCGAGAAAAGTAAATTAAAGTACAGTGAATTCTTCCAGTTGAGTATGTGATCTCTGCATGTTTAATTTGATACGATATTTTGTCACCTTTGTGATTCTCCACTATATGCAAATTAGCTTAATATTAAAGATGAAGAACATGTTATAATAGTATAGCAAATTCCTGCTAGGCAGGTGACTTTATCCTAATTTTATTAATGATGTCTTGGCATCTTTGTAAGATGCAAATTAACTGAATATAAAATACAAAGAAAAACATTCCAGGTATGAGAGTATAGCAAATTCCCGCTAATTATGGAACTTCATATAAATATGATTTATGGTATCTTGCCATCTTTGTAATTTCTCTTTGCTATTCTTAGAAAATATAAATTAATGGGATATGAAAGAAAAAAGTAATTGTGTTAAGCACGAAAGAATATCAGCTATTAGTTTATGACCCAATACGTATATAATTTGATTCTTGAAATCAAGTCTTCTGTATGTGATATACTGCTAAGAAGTGAGGTTAGGCTAATTGTAGCTTGTCAAACCTTCAGCAAGTAGAATTTGAATTGAACTGTTGGAGTTGATAGCAATTCCTCCAGTGTACAGAGGAATTTCATTAATTGCAAGCATTTTTCAGTATTTGTTTTCTGGATAAATATTTGTGTGGAATTGTCAAATTTTTATCTAAATTCTGTAACTATAAATAAGGGTTACTCCTAATGTTTTTAGTAATTTATTTTTTCTATCTGTATATGTGTTTGTCTGGTTTTGTATTAATTCAATTAAAGTAGATTATTTGAATAATTAATATCTAATTAATAATAGCAGAAGTGAACATTCAGGCTAGAATTTACAGTTACATTATCAGCTTGATCAGAACATTTTTAATTGGTATTAGACCTGTAGGTGATTTGATTGAAAATAAAATCCATATCATAATGATTGATGCGATTTAATAAAAATTAAGCATTTAAAATATTTTTCACTTGGTAAAATTCATAAAAGAATCACATTTTTTATGAATTTAAAATGTAATATTTTTAAGTCTGAAAATTAAAAAAAGTAGGTATATAAAAGATTTATATAGAAACAAATTTTTGGATAGAAAGCAAAAATGTAACATTGAATGATAATAATAATTAAGAATGATATGTATATATTTTGCTTTGTAAATATTTTACAAATTGCTGATAGATTGTTTTCTTTCAGCCAGAACAATGGAAGGAAATGTCCAAAGTCATTAAAGTGAGTATTTATCGTCTTCATTACTACTGCTACTTTTACCATTGTAAATACCAATACTTATTTCATATGTAATTTATATAAAGTTTATATTTTATGCACAATACTTATTTCATATGTAATGCATATTTTGATTTTATGTACTGTATACCACAGTGACTTTTTTTAAAAATAGCAAGTTATAAATCTTGATAAACAGGTGAAGTTAGTGCAAGCTCCTTGTTATGTTGTTTGTCAAAAGGCTGCTCGAGTATTATTGATAAAAAATGTCAGTTATCATACTGCGAGGAACAACTTAGTTGCATGTATATTTCCTTAGTTCTCTGTATGGTTAAGTGCTACATCACTGTGATCAACTGAAATTACCTTGCTAATGACATTCACTGGCTTTCCCAGATTTTGCAAAATGTGGGAGACCTTGCATGTGATTACACCAAATAGAATTCTTCATTTAAAATCAACAAAGTACACTACCTATGTATGCTATCCATACTTCATTTATAACTCTTGTATATTTTAATTTCTGATGAAAAGTGATATAATTCATGCTTAAACTAGTATCTCTACATGCAGCATGTAATGTTTAAAGCTTCTTGGTTGTCTTAGGAAGCGTACCTTTTGTCGTTTTTAAGATTCATGCTCACCTTTCAGATGTGGAAAAAAATTTAAAATTTATTTGATGTGATACACTTACTATGTTTGAAATTATTTCTTCAGAGCAGTTTAGATATTTGGAGTACATATTTATATGAAGTTACTGATGTTGAACTTAGCTGTATTTTAATAGAAATATAGTATATAAGTGAGTTTTTAAACAGTTTATGTGTAGATATGGATACTAATTATTGCAAGTCATTATATATTTTGTAATAAAATAACTTGATCTTTTCAGAGTCGCAAGTTGTTCCCCTTTTTTGATATGGCATATCAAGGATTTGCATCCGGAGATTGTGATCGGGATGCACAGGCTGTCAGAATGTTCATTGAAGATGGTCACCGAATAGCTTTGGCACAATCCTTTGCTAAAAATATGGGACTATATGGTAATATATTATTCCATTATCATCAAGAAATTAAGTAATATAACTGAATTTAATAACTTTGAACACTTTGATAGGGAGGAAAAATAGTTCTATATATAAGCAGCTCAAAGCAGACCGCAAATATATGCAGGGGTGTTTGCGCTCTGGGGATTTTGAACTTCGATACCCGGAAATTCCGGGGATCGTCGTTCAAAAGTAAGTAGGAATAATAATGAATTATTTATTTTGATCTGGGTAATTTTGTTTGCTTTGAAAGCAGAAAACGCAAGGTCAGTGTGTGTGGTGAAAACTTTCTTTCCTTTCTTTCTCCAAAGGCAGTGATAATGCGTGAAAAGGGGGAAAAAACTCTTTTTTTGTTCTTTCCTTATTGCGAGTTATGACTCATTCACCCGGTTCTCGGACATTCTCTTCTGGATTCTTTTTGGCAAGTAGGCGCGGTAGAAAAAAAAGGGAGAGACTTTGTTCGACCAGATGTGCGATCACGTGACTCTGGGTTCTCCTGACGTGGCGCCAATAAGTAGAGAAGGGGGATTTTTCGCCGTATTAGCTATTTGTCATTGATCGCTTCTCAATTTTTTTTTCTCCACTGTGTAAAATTTTCGTTTCATTTATTGATGCACGTGTAAATTTTCGTTTCGTTATTGAAAAATTTTTTATTTATGTACGCAAGAAAATTCCACTATGAAATTTCTCGATATAATAGTGATATTATACAATTAGAAGAAGGTGTTCCGAATGCATTTAGGGGGAATTGATTGACGGGAGATGGTAAGGGGATACCATCGGCACATGGTGCAAGAAAATAACGTTGCTGGACAAGCATATTGTGTAAAAAATTGTTGAAGGGTTGTATTCTTGCTTGCATTCCCAACAACTCGCAAGGATGCTTTAGCTCGGAAAAAAAGAATACTAAATGGGTTATTTGTTATAAAACAAACTTATTGGCATATGGCATTATATTCAGCAGTATTACCAGAGTTCAACACATATATTAAATTATTAAACAAACAACAAACAAAACAAAAAAAAAAAAAACAATGCTTCATTTAATACATTCCAGTATTTATAAATGATGGCAAAATTTTTCTCTTTTTTATGAAGCCAAAAATATAGAGTGCACATCTTATAATGATTTATTAAAGGTTGATGTCCAAATCCAGAATTCCATCTACCTAGCAAAGTAATATTTACTGGGCAGAAGCTTCCACACGCCTGAAGAAATTATCAAAAATCATCCAATAGCAAAAGAATTCCAATTTCTCTGATGAAGCTTTACTAATACAGCACAGCATATAACAGAAATTACCCCTTAAAAAAAAATATATAATTATTTTACAGCATAGATTCAGAGCTAAGAGGTAAAACCAGTACAATATTAGCTTTTGAAAAATTATCATCTTTATGTCCCATATTTTGTGATAATGAAAAGTCAAAAGTAGAAGCTGAAATAAGGTTATACCAGAGTGATATGATATCACCAAAGAAATGCTCTACACATCTGATGAAAGTGGAAATCAAGTCAAGTGTACAATAGATAATATTGGTCTAAAAAGTTTTTAATTTAAAAGATGATTTCACAATGATTATAAGTATTCTATTGGCTAAATTGGTCACAGCCTGCCTTAGCTGCTTCCATGGCCCATTAGGGAAAGTGCATTCGCTTAATGGCTACACTTGTCACTGACTATAGAACCTCTCTTAAGATTGATTCCCTAATATTATTATTCCGTAGATGCACTGCATCTACGGAATAATATGATTAATGGCTTCTAAAGTATTCTAATATGATTAATGGCTTCTAAATAATTAATAATATGATTTAATGGCTTCTAAAGAAACCTCATGTGAAAAATATGGCTAAAAAAATCCAAGATGATCAAATTCACAAAGATCTCTTACTGAATATGAATAGAAGTTGGAAAACATTCAAGAGGACTTAAAAACATTTATTTCAGATGAGTCACCTATAAAAGTCTCTGAAAACCTTCTACTTAGCAGAAAAGCAAACTGCTTCTACCTCTGCATGTGCAGTTCCGAGGAAATTTCTTCAACTGTAAATGAGGAAATGAAAGTCAACCTTTCCTGCAATTATGAAGTTCACCACAAAAGAAAGACAAGCCCACAAACATCAGAAATAAAAAAAAAGCAGCAGAAATTAGATAATTTTTTTTTTAAAGAATTAATTCAGGTATTTAAAATATTTCCATAAAATGTAGTAGTTTATATGTTTGAAAATTTATGGTTATTAATTTTGCAAAAAAAGTAATTCATTGACTTTTATAATTAGGTCATTCAATACTTCATAATTGTAATTTTTTTTCTCTTCTCCCCCTTCTCCCCCCCCTTCTCCAAAAAATGTCGGTAGTAAGTCCGTAAAAGTTTCAGGGGATTTTTTTGGGGTCCCACAAACACCCCTGTATATGTTTTGACTTTTTTGTGCTATTTAATATAGAATTGTAAGCTTTAGTTCCTTCTTATATTAGCAGTTAACAATTAACCATGCTTGAGAGCTTTAAATCAAATAACATATTTATGAGAATAAATTAAATTTGAGCATCAAGATGTAGATGAAATAAATTGTTGAATTTGTTTGTATAATAAAACCTAGTATTGCTCAATTGCTTAATATAAACATAAATTACTAGCTTTTGTTTAAAACCTTGTCTGGCTAGAAATATTGCAAAAAAATCACAAAATGCAAGTAGTATTTTTCTTTACCTGTTTTTTAAAATGCACTCTAAACAATTTTGATGCATGGATTAATTATAATATATTTTCTAAAACTCTTATAATCAATATTAATTTGCCATTTTATTCATTTTTTCATAAAGCAAAATTTGAAATTTTAACAGATATAAAACATTTTATTTAAAACCTCTCAGCAGCCTGTGTGATTTCTTTTCTTATTTTAGACATTTTTTCTCGTATATAAATTGCATTTTAAATTAATTTAGGTGTATTTTAATTAATTAAAGTTAGAGTTTAATGTTTGTTCCAGCACTGTTTCAATAATGCTCTGACACTGTTAACCACTATTTTGGGGGATTTTTGTGTAATTTTTATCCAGAGAAACACAAATGTGTGGTACTTTTTTCCCTGAATACTTTTTTATTACTGACACAATTTATTCACTGAATATAAGTGTTGAAGATGGACAAAATCTTTTTGAAAAATATTTTAAATGTTGGTTGAGAATTTTTAAGATATTCTCTGAATATTATTCATATTATTATAATTCTGTACCTGTTATTCAATGGTGTATATTGCTGAAATCTTGGTAGTTATTTTTCAAATTTAGGGCTACAAAAGTTCTATAATTAAAATCTCCCCTCCCCTTTGAATCAGAATTATTTATATACTGGAAAGCACTATTTATTTATATTTAAGAGACCTCTTAGAAATGGCATATAAATGAGAACGATGTATGCTTGAAATTTTATTTAAAGATGTGATATGTATATTTTAGTTCTAACATTTAATTATGCCATTGATATTGTACAAATATAATTTTATCTTCCTGTTTTTAGTTATTTAATATCTATATATATTTTTAAAAAAAGTCAAAATCGCAAGATTTTACACTGTATAATATTTACAAAGTAAGAATGACTTTGTCTTTATTTCAATTGTTTACATTAAATAAATAAAATTTTTTTACGAGAATATCTTAATATAGGTTCAGGATTTAATTTTTCTGAAGAAAAAAAGTATCTTCAAATATCGTCTGATATCTCATTAGATTTTGATGTGGGTATTTGAATATGGCAAAGCACAGAAGGGCTATCTACCTGAGAGAAGAGATATCTTGGAGGAATTTCTAAGGGAAACTCTCATATTCATATCCATTAGATTTATATTCCTTAACTCTTTCTGGCATGCTACTGTAAAAAGTTATAATTTCAATTAAAAGAAAATGGAAGATATTTTAATCAGGCCTAGAGGAGTACACAAGTAAAATTTTGTAAAGATACCACTGACCGTTTTAGTTTTGTGGGTGTGCCCAAGGTGGGCTTACTGAATGTATGGAGGTTCGAAAAGAGCACTGACGTGAGCATTGATGGGAAGTGCATAATAGAGTTAAAGATTTTGCCTACATTTTGTTAAAAAACACTAGATTCTGCTTAGTGTAGCAGATTTAGCATTGCTCAGTGTGCAACATGGCGAGGCCTACATTTCTACACCCCAAGGAAAAGAAAAGTATCTTGTGATATCTGGCGACTGTTTGGCGATCAACAGAGCGTGCTTGGCGCTGGTAGCTCTTCTCCGAGAAGGGTTAATGTATTTATTAAGAGTTGTATGTTAGCCTCGGAAGAGGAAGGTAGTAGATTGTACTATGCGGTAGGAGCGACGTACTGCTCTGAGTAACTATTATATTATGCTTTGAATTATATATTTAATAAATGTTTGTTTCGTCTTGCTAAATGGTGCCTTGTTAAACCACGAAGTCATCACATATCTCTCTGCTCTCTGTATCACATTCACTATCTGAAAGCAATTTGTTTAGCATTTTCAGCGCTCCAGAAATCATCAGCCCACTCTGATCCATTTGCAAATTAATTAGAAAAAATAACTACAATTAAGAAAATGCAAACTATAAAATTAATAAACATCTACAACTAAAAACTATCAAAATGTAGAGCTAACAAAACTTTTAACGAAAGCTAGAGAAGAAATAGAACTGCTCTAGTGAAAATCAAAGAGCTAAGAGATAAAATACCCCTGACCTTTATAGAATAAGAGATCAACGTACAGCCAAGAAAATAACATATAATTTCTTTTGTAAGAATTCCTTTTATATCCTAAAAAATCTATATTTTTTTTGAAAAATGAGGGTCTTAAGAATAAAACATGGCTGAATAGACTAGTTTGTGTTGTGCTGCCATCTAGTATTAATAAAAAGGTTAAAAATAACCTGTAAAGTCTTTTCCATTCAATTTTTCTGCGTGAACAGAGGAAATTTTTTTGGGGCACATTTACTGTTGAAAGGAGTGTAAAACTTTCTAGAAGAGTTAAAAGATAATTTAAGTGCTCTCTCTGGCAGCTTCTTGCGCATATTTCGAAAACGGCAAGGAAATCAGCCAAATTGGGTGGTGATGTTCCGAAAAAAGACAGATTAATATGTTCAGCAGAACTTCATTATATATGAAGCTAAGATTAATCTTCAAGTACTCACCAAGCATAACAGGAATAATTGAAAAAAAAAATGTGAGAAAGAAGTTCTTTTCATTAAGAAACATTTAAAATTTTATTATAGGGGAGCGTGTTGGTGCATTCACTATGGTCTGTGATTCAAACGAAGAAGCTCAGAGAGTAATGTCACAGCTAAAGATTATAATTAGACCTACCTATTCAAATCCACCAGTCCATGGAGCCCGGATAGCTGGACTTGTCCTCACAGACCCTGATTTAAACAAGCAATGGTAAGTATGCCTATTAATGCTAGAGAAAGTCTTATAAAAACTACATGACTAAGAATCTAACATTTTTTGGGTAGGCCTACTCACTGCTAGTAACTTTGTATGCTCTAGTTATTTTTCTGGCTCGGAAGAAGCTAACTGCGTGCAATTTTTTTTGTGTGGTTTTCTGTTGTGTATTATAGATTCCATATTTTTTTTGCACCTTTGTTTTTGTGAGGTACTTTTGGAAAAAAAAAAAAAAAATAATGTCCAGTAACTTGAATGCAAGACAAGATGACAGATAGTGAAATTATCTTAATGCAATGAAAATGCAAGACAAGATGACAGAAATGGAGAAACAAAGAAGAGATAGAATTGGAAGAGGCACCAGTCTGTCTCCAGTTAGAAGAAGAAGAAGAAAGCCTATAAGAAATAAAAAAGATCAGAATGACATGTCTGTGTTCTTGGAAGTTTAATTTTAATCTCTGAACCATTTGATGCCACACTTGTCAATTTTTCAAAGAGGACATTTGAAATTTTTTTTCTAAACTTCCATATACCGAGGAAGTTTAGGAAACTGTGATAGTGGGTATGACGTCCACTGTAATTCAAAATTGTAGTAATTTAAAAGCATTTGAAAATCATAGCAAAGGTGAATAACTTTTATTATAATTAACTGAAAAGTAATAATAGCAATTTAGCTATATTTTCAAGCAGTTTAATGTGGAGTATAAATTCATCAGATTTTAAAATTAAATAAGTATCCAAAACAAAGGGATTGTAAATGATGGAAGATTAAGCATTAGAAATGAATATACTAAGTTGTAAATGCATAAAAGGTCAGCTTTCCCTTTCTTTACCTTTTTATGCTTTCTCATAGATACCTTTGTTTTATACTTGGTTTGTGATAGTAAATTTTCCATCATTCTGCAATAAACAATTATAACTTTTTTTTTTTAGACAGAGTGCAGTTAAGCCATCCCAGTAAATTGGGAGTTGACTGCAGAGTGGATGGTTGAAGGTAACAACATCCTAGTACCTGGATGAATTTGAAAGATGTATTAGTAGGTTATGGAGATTCACTAATTGGGAAGAGTTTTAAGAAAGCAGAATTTTAGTGCCATGGATGGTTCTGATTATCAAAATCGTTGTGATTCTCATGAACTATTAAAAGTTTAATTTGGTTCATTTTCATGAACTATATTAAAAGTAAAAGACAGATGATCTGTCTGTTTCATTAGCTGGAATCTAAAATTTCTTCTTTGTTGTTGGGTTTCTGTAGTATTTTCAATTTTTGTTCATGTTTGTATGGCAATATATTCCAAATGTTGTGGTTCTGTGGTGATAGGAAAAAAGAATGGATACATCAGACCAAAAGGTTAACAATTCTTTAAGGTTTTCTTTTAATAGAGGAACAATAGATTTAATTATTTCATTTAGTGCCTTCGTTTCGTGCTGGTAACATTATGCGATTGTGAATTAATTAAAAAAAAAATCTTTCAGCATATTCATGCTTTAAAAATGGATACTTACATACTTATGTATTGAGAAGAAATTTTAACTTTTCAGAACTTGCATGTTAAATTTAAAAATGTTAAACCTGTTTAATACAATCATGCCTATTTGATTGAATTACCATATAAGAATAAATACCAGTGTAATTCAATCTTTCTCTCCCCCCCAAAAAAGTTCTTTTACATTTTATATCTTGATTTGCTGTAAGTAACATATAGCAAACAGAAAAATTTGCATGGCAATAACGTTATGTGCTACTTCTATCAGGAAAGCTAGCTTTTCAATTACTGATTGGCTTTAAATTCTCTAGTTTTTGAGTTCTGTTTCTACGGTATTTTTTTTCTATCCTTTTCTGTGCCCTTTATGAAGATATATATATTTAGGTATTTTACTGTATTTTTTGCCTTTACTAGTTTCCAACGCTGAGTATTTTACTGTGTTTTTTTCCTTTCTCGTGTAGCATATTTCTCACCCTTCAATGACATTGTTTCTTAAAACGTGTTGAACTTTTTGGAGCCACAGCTCCTGGTAACTTTTAGGCGAGCGTACTACAATTTCTAATTTACTTATTTTGCAGCATATTGTGCAAAATGTTATCCAGACTAAATTAGTCATACAGTATTGTACTAACTACCTTGCTTGTTGTATTATTTCTTTTTCGCAGCTATAAGCGCAAAAAGTTTCAGTAAGTTCTGATGTTTTTAGTTTTTTAGGTTTTTAAGCTTTAGCTTATAAGTTGCCGGAAACTGTTTACAGTTCCACTTTCACGATAGGTTAGTCTTCCTTCCAAAAAACACTGTAAAGCAGGCTAGCTCCCTCTTTACTTTCAATCACTGGCTCAGATAAATAACATAGAAATAATTAAATGAAGCAACCAGCTTTGAAAAACCTGTAAGGCTATTGCTACTCCTCCTCCTTCTACTTCAAGTAAAACACAATCACTTTGAAAGACTTACAATTGCATCTACCAAATTACCTGTAAAGAATGTTCTCTCACGTATATAGGTCAAACAAAAAACCCTCTCAACCTCAGAATTAATAACCATAGATCTCATATCAAAAAATTTAAAAATAAAAACAATAATAGCACCAAAGATTATCAGCTTACAGCAATTCTTGAACATTATAATTTACATAATTTTAATAACATAGAAATAAACGTGCTTGATATTGTTCCAAACACCAAACTTAGACTGTTTAAGGAATCGATTTACATACTTCAAAAAAAGTCACTTTATCCTTACGGACTGAATGCATGTCTTAGCAATACCACCAATAGACAGCAAGAAATCTCTATATATGGACAATTCAGATTTTTTAGCAATACTACTACCAGAGGATCTAGAGGAGGTGATACCAAAAACAAAAAAATTTTTTTCAACACAAGATCTGAAATTAATTATTCACAATCTTAATTCCTACCTTGAACATAAAGAATTCGCAAAAAATGCCATAAAACTTCTTCATACCTTTAAGAATACTACCTTATGGAATCTGATTAAAACAGTAAATCAACCTTCTCAATGCTTCAAAATAGTCAAGGATCTGATTATAGACTTCTGCAATTTTAAACTAAAGAACAGTAATTTTTTTCACAAAAAACTTTTTTGTACTATTCAGTTCAAACACCCTTCTTATGATAAGTTAAAAATACTTAGCATGTTTAAAAAAATTTCAACACTTGCTTCCTGACCAACCACTTCAAATTAAACCCTGTTTTAAATTTGAAAAAACCTTAGGTCAACTTGTTATCAACCACCACATTATACAAGATAATAGCAAATGTAATTGCCGATTGACTGTCTACAAAAAATATGTCGATCCTTTCCACCAACATGTTATTACTGGAGATCTTAATATCATTGAAGATGTAGAATTACGTAACCCTTATGCAACTTGGCACCAAAATTTCGTCCTACTTTCGGTATTAATAAGCACGTTTGCCTGCCTCAAACAATTCAATAATGATCTTGATAAATTTATATATTAGCTAGCTAGTAATAGATCCAATTTACCCCTACTACAACTTTTCTTGAATGGAAAGCTGCACTTAATTAAAGAATTTCAACGTTTGCTGTTCAAGTCACCTTTTTTTCAACTCTTTACACAATAAAAAACGTCTAGAGGATCTAATTCAAAAAAAAATTGCAAGATCACTTTATCATCACGAAGATTGACAAAGCAAGCAACAATTTTAGTGTTATTTGACAACAATTTTACTTCAACCTTCTGCATAAAGAGTTAAATAACACCTGCACTTACCAAAAAATCACTACCAGTACTAAGATTCTTCTCAATAAATTTAAAGCACTCCATAAAAGACTAAAAATACAACCCCAGAAATATAACAACAGGTTTGCCAATCTCTATGCCTTACCTAAATTTCATAAGTCTCCAATAAAATTCAGGTTCATAGCTAATAGTACCAAAAGTTATCTCAAAGAAATAGATTATCTCTTTGCACAAAAACTTCGTATGATACGTGACCTAATTAATAACTATGATTTTGAGGGTCTGCATTGCAACTGGATGATCTCTAGTAACGAACTAGTTCTTAAAACTATGAATTCACTTAAAATAGACCATATCCAATGCTACGACTTTGAAAACCTCTATACTTCTCTACCACTTGAAGAAATTTTTACAAGTTTACTAGCTCTTCCAGATTTATTTCCGCAAATTTCTACCATTCTCAGCAACGAAAAATGGCAACTTTTCCTCTCCAGCGTGCTCTTCAATAATTTTATTCAATTTAACAATAGCATCTATAAACAAGTACAGGGAATCCCAATGGGCGGTAATTTTTCAAGCTCTGTCTGTGAATTATTCCTTTTACAAAAGAATTGACCTATGTCCGTTCACTCAGTACAGAAGAACGTATTTTACCAACACATCTATAGATATATTGATGATGTCATTGCATTTAATAACTACAACAAAATAGAAGTAGCTAATATCTACCCTGCATGCTTAAAACTAAATAAAACAAATACAGAACAGCATAATGTAGTCTACCTTGATTTACATATTATGATTACAATTTATAAAAAGTTTACGACAAAAAGAGAGAATTTAATTTTTCCACACTTAAATTAACTAACTGGAATTCAAATATTTCCAAAAGAGTCCTTCAACACAATTTATTCACAGCTACTCAGAATAAAAAGAATCTGCAATACTGAAAACACTTACAAGAAGAAATACTATACTTCGTAACTATTTGAAAAAAAAACCTAATTCCTCATAAAATAATTTAAAAATAACAAAAGCTGGCATTAGATTTTTAGATTTTTATGATTTTATGAATACGGAAAGGGGGATGACTGATTCAGAGAATCTAATGTAAAAAATGTACTTATTTTATACATTCTCTTTCCTCCAAAATTTTGGCACTTACTTTTAAATACTATTGTTAAATAGTTTTAAATTTCTATAATGGCCAATTTTACTGCTTTTATTAACAAATCGGGCCTTTTCGTTTTTCATAGTAGCTTGATCGCCCGCTAGCTTGAAGAATTACGACTTTTTTTTTACTTTTGAGTGTTTTTCCTTTTACTCTTGCTTTTGGCCAAGTTTTGTAGTTTTTAGCTGAATTAGCCATTTTCACTTTCAGTAACAATTTTTTTCCACTACATGCCTGACGCCCATTTTTGAGATCTTTTCACGTTTTTCCGAGGTTTCCGTCCCCCTTTCGAAAATTAGGAGACGAGTTGCAGCTAACGGACAATCTCTTCGTATTGGCTGATGCCCACAAGAACATCGCTCCCCCCTACATACGTCACACGAACTGAAGTACACAGAAGGGAATTACAACCACTTTTCAACTTAGTTTTAAGAGGGAGAGCTCTGCATCGCCACAGGTCATTTTTTTTTGTTTCTTTTTGTTACAACTTTTTCTTGGTCTTAGCAAGACCCACTTGTTGTTCATCTTAATTTTCTTTTATTTTAATTTAATTTACAGATTTCTAAAATATATAAAAATTTATTGTTAATCTTTAAGCTTGCAGGCCCAGCCCGTATGTTTTTTTGTATATTTAGGACTAATAGCAGACCGCTATTTATTTTATTTTTTATTTTTGTTTTTTATTTTAGTCTAGATTTAAGATGTAATCGGTATAGTTTTACATATTTTAACACCTTAATGTGTCATTTTGTGCGGACGCGTCGGGAAATTGGAACAGAGAATTGAGACTATTAAAATTTTCCAAGACACTTTGTCTAAATTTAAAAAATTTTGTAGCGAAAAAGTTTCAATTGTCTGTTTCGGCGAAACGCGTAATGGGGTTAGCTTGATTCGACGTTCAAATTAGAAAATTTCCCTTGAAAAGCCAGTTTGGAAGTCGAGTTCAGCTAATTTACCATTTTCCGCTTCTTTTTATCTGATTTTGTTTTTTTTAATGTTTTATTGTTATTGGTTTGATTTCATATGTATTATTTTTCAAAGGCACATCCATAGGTATTTTACTGTATTTTTGTTACTAGTTCCAACCTGAGTATTTACTGTGTTTTTTTCTCGTGTAGCATATTTCTCAGTCAATGACATTGTTTCTTAAAACATGTTGAACATTTTGGAGCCACAGCTCCTGGTAACTTTTAGGCGAGCTTACTACAATTTCTAATTTACTTATTTTGCAGCATATTGCTCAAAATGTTATCCAGACCAAATTAGTCATACAGTATTGTACTAACTACCTTGCTTGTTGTATTATTTAAGCAAATAGCCGTAATGCACTTTTGCTGTAATTTGATCCAATCCATTCCAATCCATACTGGGATGGAATTATGCAAGTAGCTCATATATGTTTTGCCGTAAATTATCCAAATGCCCATAGTGGCATCATTGATGTTTGCCATAATTAAATTAATGAACAGAACAGAAACCTTGGAGGTAAGAAGTAAGAGGAGAGGCTCTAACTGGTTTTCCTCATACACTGCTTTTAAAGCACTGACGATTCCTTCGTGGAGACCAAAACATTCAGTGACTTTCATTAAGATCAATGGGTTTTGACAGGATTGGATGTAAACATTTTGTAATTACATCATAAATATAGATATAAATGCATATATTTTCTTTTTCTACTATATTTCAGAGTCCTAAGTATATGAAAAAAAAATACATTTTTAAACAACATTTCATTCTGAATGGAATTAAATGCTGTACTTTTCACAGAACAGTTTAATTTGAATGAAAAATTTTCTTAAGTTTTCATTAGAAAGAAATTGTAAGGTAAATCGATTTTATTCGGTTAAGGATTACAAAAATTAAGATCAAAGTTTATTAATATTAAAATTACACTTATTCTTTTATTTACAGTGTTCTTCCTAAAAGTACTTTCTCAAATATGCATGGTTTTTAGCTTTTGAGGCAATCTTTAAATCAAAGATCTGAGTCATTATTAATTAATATTTATTCATCCATTTCAAATTAGAGTACCTTTTTTTTAATAGTGAAATCCATTAAAATATTGGTGCTGATTTTCCACACTTAACTTTCTATGAATATTTCTGAAAGGGAATAAAAAAAGGATTTTTTAAAAATATTTTTTAAAACTTTTAACTGAGTAATTATAAACTGTAAGGGAATTCTTTTATTACTTATCAGATTTTTTACTCTTAATTTCAGCAATACATATTTTAAAACTCTTCCTCACTACTTGCTTAACCGTTTGACTGCTACGCGACACAAAAGCGCTGCGTTCATTTGTCTCGAAAAACGCAACGCAGTTAGTTATTTTAGAATGCACTCATGTTACAAAGTACGCATGAGGTAAGACTATGTTCACACCCACAGAGCAACAAAGACACACTGAAACTCGCAGCGAAAAAGTGCTGCGTCACAGTTTTTGAGACAAATGAACGCAGCGCTTTTGCACCGTGTAGCAGTCAAACGATTAAGTATGTATCTCATAGAATTTCCTGTACAATGCCTTTTAACAGATTGCATTCCAGTACTAACAATTCTTGCTTTAATAGTTTTATAAACGTATTTGTCAACATAATTTCAATTTATGTTTACAATTAAATGTTAAGGTATATATTTAGATAATATTATAATCATTAATCTATAAGTTTATATTTATATAAATCTATAAGTTTAGATATTTTAATAAACTAGATTTCTTCACAGCAACTTTCACAGGAGTTATGAATGAAATAATCCTTCATTTCCAAATACATTTATAAATTATTTAATAAATATTACGTATTTTGTTATATAGGTATATTATATATTATAAGGCAGATATATGCTTTTCCATAAATACCCATACATATTTCATATTTTTCATTTTCGGCATGTAGAAATCTTTAATTTCTGTGCATTTACTATATTTTTTGAATAAAATAATTTACGATAATTTAGTGTATACCAGAAATTTTTACATAAGAAATATGTATAAATATGATTTGAATGAAAACTATATGCATTTTTAATACCCACTCAAAGGTCAGTTTTTTTTTTCAAAATTCCTCCAGGACGGCATCACGATGAGTAAATTAATTTTGGCAGAGCACTCTATACCTCTTTTAGCGATTTTACCCAGTTTAATAATTCTCTGATAATATAATAAATGTTTGGAACATAAAATAAAAATAGCAAATACTCTATTAAGGGTATCAAAAGACTTATATGATTTTAAAGGTACCGTAAGTTATTTTTCATTCTTTAAGCATAATCTGGATGAAAACAAAAAACAGCCCATCTGGAGACCAAAACCTCGAAGCATTGCTTCACTCGTAGTGGAGGTTAGCCCTTCCTTTCATTCTTACTTCCATGACAGAAACAAACCTCTTTTAAGTGGTGCCATACAAGAAGGTAATGAAAGTGTACCTTTATATCTTTTAATGTATTGTATGTGTTATATATTAACTATATAATACATACAATACATTAAAAGAATTATACATGCATTCGTTTGCAAGGAGTCTAATAACATGAATGTGCATATTAAAAGTTATGTAAAAGAATTGTAATATTTAAAATGATTCAGAGTGATATATAATGTGTTACTCTAAATCATTTAACATGTATAATAAATATATGTAACAGCTCTAAATAATTTTAATATAAATGTGTTTGTTGTGAAATATGAGAAGGTTTTAACAACAGGTTAAGACTGTCTAGATAAGACAGTCGAAGGCCCCAGGCATAGAGTTTTCTTTTAAGGGATCCCAACAATTACTTTTTGTGTTCATAAGAAGAAAAAATAAGTTTATATGCAGTTTTAAGGACTTAAGCTATTATCAAATTTTGATTAACAAAAAGTGTAATTTTTTATTAATCTTCTAATGCATTCTGGTGAATCTGAGTAGCATTCTGCTGAATAAATGTCTTAACTGTACATAGTTGTATTAACACATATCTAAAAAGCTTATTTTGTGAAGTTATTGCAGATGTGCAAAATGTTTAAAAATAAATAGTCTTTCAATGTTAAGCAAGTTTCAGTCTTATTTTGATGTTAGTTTTCATAGGAAGAGTTGTCTGCATTTTAAAGGTATTTAACACCAACCTTCTCATGAACAGTATTCTGTGCCACTTTTTTGGGGTATGCAATGTTTAAATTAAAAATTAAAAACACTGCAATCTGAAACCTTCAAATTGCAGTGTTTTTAATTTGTCAATTCTACGTTAAATTTTCCCTCTTTTGATCATAAATGTTGGTCTAGAACCGATACTGCTTGTCAATGGCATAAAAAAGTCCTTGTTTATAAATAGCAAAAGTTCACTCCCCAAACAACTACTCCTACCCACCTTTGTAATCTTCTCACTGTAAATACTAATCCCATCATTAATATCTCTAAATTAATCTTTCGGAGGATAATATGAACATATTAAAATGTAACTTCTACTTTTCAAAGACATCTAAACCTTCAGTTCCCCAAATCATCGTCTCTATTAGAAAAGCTATTAAATTCTGCCAAATTTCAGAAGCACAGAACCACACAATTTGACACTTAATTACTTACATTGTGGATTTTAACTACAGCAGATTTGTTTCACATGTTAACTGAAAGAAAAGGCAGGCCTTGCATGAAATTCATTCCAATACTAACATTATATATTTTTTAATGCCAGTAAGAGGGCACAGATCATTTTTATGGACAAATACACATATATTGAAGTCTTGAAACTGATTAAATGAAGGCCCATACTGCTCGATCATTAATCCTTCAATTTCTAATCTCACAAAAGTAAAAATGCGAGTTCAGTCTTCTCATATCATCCCAATTCAGTTTAAAAAGTCACTCACTTCACCTGTTGTTAACTGTGCTAGGTTATATGCTCTTCCCAAAGTCGAAAAAATTGGAATTCCATTTCGACCCACAGTTACCAAATTAGAAACAGCATCATATCCTTTGGCCAAACTTTTGGTTTCCAGATTTTCTTCTTTACTTTCTAACAATAGTCGCACTGTAGTTCTTTTGAAGTCATCCATAAACTTTCTAAATTATCTTGAAACTAGGTTTCAAGAATTCCATTTCACACATACTGAAATTAAAGAGTTAATTTCTGTTACTAAAATCTCAAGAGTTCAACGAACTTTTTTTCCAAAGTGATTATTATCGCCAAATTCAGCAATTAGCTATGGGCAATCCCCTCAGTCTTGTACTTGCTAATATTTACATGCACTATTCTGAAGTCAGATTATTTCAGAAACTACCTTTTTGTCTCTGGATTCGCTATGTAGATGACACTATCACACTTTCTGATGGTAATAAAGATTTATCCCAAATTATGTCTGTTATGAATTTGTCTAATCCAACTATCCAGTTCACTTTTGAATTCGAATCTGAGAATTCCCTACCTTCCTTGATATTGTTATAATTCACAGTGAATCTGATTTCAGTATTACTGTTTACCATAAACATTTTTCTGTTTGTTTACCACCCCATGCTAAGCCATGTCACTGGCTAAGCAAAAAATGGCTTCTTCTTAGTATTATGTATTTTGTGCTCTCGAAGTTTGTTCTTCAGAACCTCTGCTTGCTAAAGAACTCAATTATTTGAGATCAGTTCCATGATCCAGGATTTTCTACTGTGGTCAAAGCCTTAAAAGATTTTCCTGATTGCCATCAGAGAAGACATTCTGCTATTAGAAAATAACATTAATAGCCTTCTTGTGTTTCCATTTTATCCTTTTGTCAGTTTTAAAATTGCATGGATTCTTCAGAAGTTCAATTTGTCTAATCCAACTATCCAGTCATTTTCTTGCCTATCAATAAAAATCCATGGTTTAACTCTTAAAGATTACATTTCTAACTTTAATTTTTTTTGAATTTATAGCATATCATGTCAGTGCGGTTTGAGATGCATCAGCCAATTTAAAAGAGTGTTAAAGTTTCGTATCGAGGAACACCAATCTTATGTCCGAAAAGGCAAAATTAAGAAATCTTTGATAACTAATCTTTGTTGGGAATGTAATAATAATTTTGATTTTGCGTCTGCAAAAATCATTTAAAAAGCTTCTTCAATTCGTGAATTGGATTTACTTGAAGTTTTTCGCAAAGTTAGTCACAAAAGTTTATCTTAACCTAAAAGTCCAATCCAGTCATTCCTACAACTTTTAAAATTCTACTAATTTAATTTTTTAATTTCATTAATATTTTGGCCAAAGATGGCACTACCTTCTCATTTGCTTCTTTGTGGAGTATAAATATGACCGTAAAGCCCACTGCTTTCCAGTCTTGCAGATTTCTTTGCTCCTGATGAAGAGGGACCTGTACCAGTTTGCCCTGAAATCATTGAATCTTCTTAAATCTATCAACGAGGTTGTTGTGTACAATTTAAATAGAAGTTTAAATATAGATCTTTATGAGCAGATCCAAAAAGCTGCCACTCAGTTAAGAGAGTCCTCAGAAGTTCAAGGCAGAGCACAAAAAAAATCACAGATTTTAAATAAGTTGTGCAGTAAGTATGTCAAAAGGCTAGAGAGAAAAAAAAGAATGCTGTGATAAGATTCTGTTACTAATCAAGGCTACATGGAAAGTTTTGCACTTAATGTATATATTTGTATATCATTTTTCCCACACATTAGGTTGACACTAAATTTACCATGAATTATGGAATCTATGCAGACTTGAGTTATGGGGAAAAGCTTGTTCCAAAGTACTGGGACATCACATGCTGATTATACCGTAATACCAAGTTAGTGTGTGTCTCATGAGAAGATCCTAACAGAAGGCTCAGCTGTTCTGTTTGCCCCCAAATTAGTCTCGATATTTTTTTTTTTTTTTTTTTTTTATAATAGAGATCTGATAAAAGACCCAGTGATAGCTCAATAAAAGTTGTTAAAATGGGCATTTGCCGTCACGTAACTGACAGAACAGTTAACTTAACTCTTTCGTCGAAACGCCCGCCAGCGCCCATTCATTAGGCAACGGGCAAACCGCCCGAACGCTCGTTTATTTTCTACCTAGTTCTTTCCCCTCCACGTAGTGTATGGCTCATTGGTTTCGCGAGTTGTTAAAAGACATGTCAATCATTCTTTTGAAGCAAATAAAGGAGAAATACGGAAAGCTATGAGTTCGCAGGTGCAATCCGGCCCTAAGTGAAACTGCACATGGAGAATGGATGAAACCGCAAAAGGGGGAAAGGAAAACTATTCCAAGACTAATTCGTAAACACGAGCGTTTTCGATGTTTGTTGGAAACAGATTTGGTAGTCTCTCGATGCGAAAGAGTTAAATTGGCGAGTTATTATGAGAAGGAGCATGATAGGTATGGCTGGTATTCTTTTGATGAAATGGTAAAAAAGCAAGAATAAGGTTTTTAACATCAGGGACGATGATTAAGTACAATAAAAGTTTGAATGAAGTGGTTTTTTTTCAAGCAGTTATTTTTTGTTAACCTTCTGAGCAGCACAGATTTTTGGATCTGTCATTAAGAACTGTATTTCAACAACATTAATTGTCTAAATGTGTATAATTACTTATTTTAGCTTTATCATGCTGTATTTTATAAAGTTATATTCATGAAGATGACATTTATATTATTAATAAAAGTAAGAAATCAAAATCCATGGAGAATTTGAGGAAGGTGACAGAGTTATAGTCCTAATCATTGATAGTGAAAACAAATTTTATATAAGATGGATAGGACTTCTGCATCATCAAAAAACATGCTGATTTAATACGTTGAGCCTGGCACTGGTCCCTAAGGACTGGGCTGGCAGTGAATTTTCCGTGTGGCCAGTGTCGGTAATTTTCGTTTGGCCGACAGTATTAAAGTTTAAAAATAAATATGGTCTCAATGAAATGTGATCAAATGTAGTTTTAATGAAATTTATTGAAACATTCTACACAAAAATATGGCTTAGCTTTACACATATTACAATACATAGCAACATTTTTGGTAATATTTTGTTACTAAAAAAGGCTGAACGGAAAGGACAGCAAATTTGGCGCCGGGCTTAACCTGTTTTAAGTTGCATAGTGCCTGATGACACTTGAAGCACATTCACACAAACAAGATAGTAGAGATCAGGATAGCTGTAAATAATGCTGTTATGATATATGATACACACATTTCGGAGATGTTGAAAACATTCAAGAATTGTTTCACTGAAAGCAGAACACTATTCTGTTGAAGAGTTTGATCCGACGTACCTCGAGCCACGCAAGAGAAAAGAACTTGTGTATATTTCCTTAAAATATACTTGAGTACATTTTAAGAAAATATACATGACTATATTTTAAGATAGCATGAGAATCTCATTTGGTATTCCAAAAATTTCCAGTGTTGGGAGACATAGCATCAAACTTAAGCCTGAAAGTATATCAAAGAAGCAGAAGCCATAGTCTTAGAAAAAAAAGAATGCTGTGATAAGATTCTGTTACTAATCAAGGCTACATGGAAAGTTTTGCACTTAATGTATATATTTGTGTATCATTCTTCCCACATATTAGGTTGCATGGTAAAATTTTATCATGCAATTTATGGAATTCTATGTCAGACTTGAGTTGATTGGGAAAATCTTGCTTCCCAAAGTACCTGTGTGACCATACACATGCTGATTATACAGCGTAATACCAAGTTAGTGCGTGTCTACCATGAGAAGATCTCCTAACAGAATGGCTACAGCTGTTCTGTTGCCCCAAAAATTAGTCTCGATCCTTTTTTTTTTTTTTTTTTTATATATAATAGAGATCTGATAAAAATGACCCAGTGATATATATTGATGATGTGACTTAATGACATGATTATAGTATTTTCCAGTGATTAAAATAAGACTAAAAGTTAGTAATTTTTGAAACATTATGAATATTTTGACTATTTAATTAAAAAATTTTTTTAAGAGCTGAAATGTTAAACCAGGGGTGGCTAAATTTCACTACAATAGGAGCCTCATGGTAAATTTCGTGAAACCTCAAAAACCACAGCTGGATTTTCGAAGAATAACAAGTCCATATTTATATTGTTTAAAACAAAGAAACATTTCAAGTAAATTAATGAGAATTTTGTATTTTTGTGTAACTAATAAGGTGTCATTAAAATGTGGAACTTTATTTATCCTGCTTTGCAATCAGAAACATATATCTGAACAAATTATACATTTGAAACTACTATACAGTGTATTTGAGCATTATTATCTTAGGTAAAAAACAAACATTTTCTTTTGCTTTTCTTTATTCGTCTTCATTCATAATTGTTGTTTGGTTTTGTTAGAACTGAATTGAAGTCGGAAGACTATGTATTTGTCTTTAGAAATACGTTTGAAAAGATTTTTCATTTGGGTGAAGTCAGTCATTTAAAAAAAAAACAAATTGAATGTTTTTTCTTAAATTCTTACCTCCTACACAGTGTTTTAGAAAAAGTAAAATAACTGATATGGGATAGTGAAAATAAATATTATTTTAGGATATAATAAATAAGAGAAATAAATTATTTTAGAATAAGCTATTAACTTTTTTTAGGCTTTTGCATGAAAATTGATAACTTTATTTTCCCACACAATTAATATGAGGGCCAACATATTGAGATCAAATCTCACTTTAAATAATTGATTTAATTCATTAGATGCAAACTGGATTATAAGTTAAATTTTTTCCCAAGGTTGATACTTTCGAAACTTTATATTTCTCGAATCTTCAGAAAGATTTTAAATTCTAAATCTCAAATCTTGGAACTATTTTCATCATTCAAATCTTTTGCACCCTATACTAAAACGTTCTTTTATCAAAAGTTTGGAATGGCTCGTACTGATGTTTTGTAAGTAAGAATTCACTAAAAAAAGATGATTGCAATTTCATTGGTATTGTAATCTTCATTTCATTTATGCTGGTGTAAGGCGCTGCATTGTTTCAGTATAATTTCTAGCGTTGTCTTGATAATTTTGATATCTATAGATAATCTACTACTAATGAATCTAGCAATTCTTGTCATGATATATAAATGTTGCTTCGGTCACATATTC